GCCCATTAAGCGTAGGACCCCCCTTCTTTAGACAACTTGGGTACATTTTTCATATCCCTGAGGCCGAAGTTTCATGTCATGCAAAATGATGACAATCAAGGGGCCACAGGGGTGATGGATGCAGTTTCTCGCAGTATCATTCTTAGAGCAGCCTGCACTCTACCTGCCAGCCACTGTTCGTCTTCAAATATTGAGAGGATGGACAAAATGGTAACGCGTCTTTGATAGTTATCAAGGCCTGGTTCTGATGTTTTTGAAGTCCAAAGTCGCCCAACCTGTTGTTACGTCATAGGTCGACGTTTCATCCTGTCCCGATTCGTCGATATCAACGCCTGCTTCATCTTCATGCGGTCTCTCTAGCCGCCCATGTTTCTTGGGTTTGACGATCCCAACAGATAACAGGAGTTATTAATATCACATTTTGTTTCTTCAGGACGGCGACTGTCCTCTCGAGAGAGATATTTAAAAATAGCATGGCTAAACTATTTAACTAACTAGCCCTTGCATGGCCTGCTGTTCCCTGGCGCTTCCACTGTAGCGACACCAACTACCAGCAACGCAACAATACGGCCCTTCCAAAGGCAACACTCAGTGATAATGAGCCATGGAAATATGATACTCGGATTGAAGGAGAGCCGTTTGAGGTAGAACCATGCAGATGCCGTATAATCAACTGGAGATGGCTCAGCAAAGCATCTTGCAGAAACGGCGTAAAATCCTGCTGCTTCAAGGAGCCTTCTTTCTGACACACCCCGGTTTTGGACCCCTTCTTGAGGATTAAAGCTGAATAAATATGCAAGAGAAGGTTCTATCTATCCATCCCGTCCTTTGCATGGAGCCAGAGTATTTCTCGTTATGGTGAACACTCCGGAGGACCTTGAAACTCGTCATAGGAGAAACAAAATCGTCAGTGATCGACTCCCGGCCCCCGCGCTGCTATATCATCCCGTTGACATCGCTGCTGAACCGAAGATGCATTATGATGATAGATACTATGCACACTTTCCTCATCCATACGGAGTAGATAAATCCTTAATTCCTTATTGTCTTTCTTTCCTGGCTTGCATATTAGTTACCCTGGACGGTGAAAAGTGGCGCCGTTCTAGGAAGAGAAGTTAACGATTGGTTTTGTCCCCCATTCCTCTCAGGTTTCAACCGTGAGATTCTTGTTTAGGGAACAGGCCCGGCTATTCGACGAGGCCAGGCGGACTGGGAGATACATGAAGCCTCAACCAGCGCTTTGTACTCACACGGCACGCATACAGCGCTACCACCTTCTCTCCACATATGTCAGATCTCATCTTGAAGGCCATGGCAGGAGCAAGTAAAAGTAGCAGTTATGGAGATGATGAGATGGGTACGCGTTCGCTGCAGCCATCCAGCTCCTAATCATAGACTATTCCGTTTCACGGGAATATTCAACCAAGCTAGGTTGATATTCCTTTTTAGGTGGCATCTACCGCCAGTTAGAAAACCAATTCGTGCTCCGTTAACGTAGAATAGGAGATGGGGCGATATGGCACGTCATCTCATTACACATGAGAACAGAGAACAGCCCAGAGATCTGGAGTTCAGATGCGTACACAGTGACGTCCTCTTTAGGATAGTCAGGCTATTTAATTTACTCGATGGGCGTGTGCGAGGACTTTTCCCCTTGATATTCCATTCGAATTCAGGTACGTGTTGATCGATAGCCAGTAAGAGCACTGATATTCGACCCCTTTTCCGTCCATCGAGTAAATCGGTGTCGATGCATCATGAAGCTAACGCTGATCGCTGGTGCAGAAACCTGTTTTTGAGCACAGCGTTGCCATTGCACATTTAAAACCAGCCCTGTGAGACCTCTCACAGGAACAGCAGATCCGTATAGACAATCTCCGCAAAAGACTTTGAAGCTCTCACTTCAAGGCTGCCATGAAGTCAGGGAAAACAGTCAGAAGGTAAAAAAATGCACGGCAAGCACGTTACACAGCATCGCCGGGTCGAGCACCGCTTCGCCAGGGCACAGAATCAGGGGTAGTAGCATAGCAGCATCACCATTGCAAATGTTCTCGATCACTGGTGTTAAATAGCAGGCATCCAACCCTCCTCTTCCTCCTCTTTTCTTGTATCCTCAGTATCATCCATTCGCTCATTTTTTTTCTTCTACTATCCAATTCCCCACCCACCTTTATTCACTCCTTATCAACCAAATCCTTCCAAAGTGAGTTGACCAGATGATAACCTTCACGTTCCAATACCAAAGGTACATGGATTAACAAAAGGATAAAGTCCATATCCAAAAATGAAGTTCCAGGCTGTTCTTGTCTTCTTCGCCGGCGCCTTGCTCTCGCCGCTCCTATTGAAGAGAAGCGAGGCCTCCCCGTTGTTGGAACTGCTGGGTAAGTCAATTTACCAACTGAGATGATACTTCATCAAAGTTGGAATCTCTGAAGATCAATGCACTAGTTTGCTACCATTTCTCTATCTCACTTTTAGACCGTTCTTGGCTCGCGTAGTATCAGCACACTGCTTGCAAACCATCATAGTCAAGAGCCCTCAGCTAACATGACATTTTGTTCCCATCAGGGTAAAGCAAAAGGCGTTGTAAGTAAACATCGATGATAGTGTCACAGCCGAATCCTTTCATATCGTGACATTAGCTAATAAATTTTTCAAGACCGATAAGGTTGCACCATCTACCGGCCTTCAGAATCTACCAGCTGCAGGCCTTGTTCAGGGCCTACCCATAGCTGGAGGCCTCCTTGGAGGCGGCGGTCAAGTGAGCAATTTCCCGAATGTCCCAGGCTAGCGTCGGATAGGCTTGAATCCTATCTGGCGTTGGGGATATCAAATCGCACCTTAAGTGTCACACAAAACAAGCTCTTGCTGACAGGTGGCCATAGTAATTTAGTGAACCGTATCGTGAGTGGCTTCGCTGGAGAAGCCATGGACCCCGAGGCTCCCCTTCTTGTTATACCTTTTCTAGTGTCTATGGTGAATTGCTTGAACGTTGTGCAATACGGAAACCACCAATTCGAGGTTCAGGTAAGAATGGCTGCAGGATATAAAGGTCCCACTCCACAGATACCGAGGTCACTAACACCCAGGCAGGTAGATCGCTTAGGCTTTGGGTTTCCGTGAGTGGCTTTTCCGATAATAATAGGTGGAAGACAATCATGCAGAGAATATACTAGCAATTCATCGTCAGATACGCCATATATCATTTTATTAAGCCCAGCTGTCTTTTTCCTCATCTTTAGTATTTGATCTTGTAGTTTTTTCTGTCCTTTTTTTCTCGTGATAGCCGTTAAGCTCGCGTCTAAAATTCCGACCAATAGTATGCCCCTAGTGACATCTTCCGCTTCTTGGCATTAGTGGGAAAAGCTAGAAATCACTACATAGAAGCGCTCGTAAAATTCTGACCAATAATTCGCCCTTGATGACATCTCCAGCTTCTTGAAATAGTGATATATATATGCAATGCTAAGCTGAAGAGCTTTGCAGCTGCTCAAAGTGTTGCTCATCAGTTGGTCAATAATAACTAGCACTTGTTCTGATACCCATTCAAGCTAGTTATGCCTACTTCAGCAGCAGACCTGGAAAGGGGAGCGGGGTGTCGAAGCGGAGCTCCAGGGCAGGTCGAAGATATTGAAAAGCTACCACAGGATGCTCATTTGGCTGAAAGAGAGGAGCCAACATCAATATTCAAAGGCCTAGGCATCCTGGACAGGTTTCTTGCTGTTTGGATCTTTCTAGCGATGGCGATCGGGATCATACTCGGAAATTTTGTTGATAATATAGGGCCTGCATTGCAGAAGGGTGCTCTTGTGGGTGTTTCGCTGCCAATTGGTAAGTTGTCTAGATTGTCAACCTTGACTGTTAGGCTGAGATCATCTTCTGTAGCTATCAAGGTGGCTGGGTTGTGGTTGATACTAACCAGTATTCTTACGCAGCCATCGGATTGCTTGTCATGATGTACCCAATTCTGTGCAAAGTACGCTTTGAATCTTTGCATCAAGTGTTCAGGACCCGTGAGATATGGATTCAGATGGCTTTTAGTATATTCATAAACTGGATAATTGCACCGTTTCTTATGGTAAGAACATGTTAATCTGAGGCCAAGAAGTCAGGAAACCCGCTAACATATCCATTTTGAAGCTGGCTCTCGCTTGGGCATTTTTACCAGATGAACCTGAACTGAGGGAGGGACTTATACTGGTCGGCCTAGCACGGTGCATTGCGATGGTATGTCTCCGATTCGAACCTCCGAAATGCTAGTGTACATTGGTGCTAATAGGTTCTATTCAGGTTCTTATCTGGACAGGTCTTGCGGGAGGGGATAACGAATATTGCGCAATATTGGTCGCCGTCAATTCATTATTGCAAATGGTGCTCTTTGCTCCCCTTGCGCTATTATTTATCAAAATAATCAGCCATTCAGAGGGCACGATCCCACTGTCCTACTCGGTTGTCGCAAAGAGTGTTGCTGTATTCCTAGGAATACCTCTTGGCGCTGCCATAGTTACTCGATTCACACTGCGGAAGATCGGCGGGCCTACCTGGTACGACAATGTATTCACCAAGTGGCTTAGTCCATGGTCCTTGATTGGGCTGCTGTTCATCATCCTGGCTCTATTTGCTTCCCAGGGAAAGCAGGTCGTCCATCAAATTGTGTCCGTTGTTCGGGTTGCTGCACCTCTCCTGGTATATTTCATCATCGTGTTTTTCTGCACGCTATACATCACTTATAGACTAGGCTTCGGGTATCGATTGTCAACCACGCAGAGTTTTACCGCGGCGAGTAACAACTTTGAGCTCGCCATCGCAGTTGCAATTGCAACGTTTGGTGCCGACAGTAGCCAAGCGCTAGCATCCACCGTCGGTCCGTTGATAGAGGTTCCTGTGCTGCTCGGCCTGGTTTATTTTGCGCGATTTATCGCTAAGAGGATGAACTGGAAACCCTAGAGATGCCGGTGAATATCCCCGTTTGTAATAGCAAGCGTTTTGTACAATCCCTAGTTGTTCACCCATAGAAATATACGATCATAATTCATTATTTCCACTTCCCATTTATCAACTCGCATATACGCAAAAGCATAAGTCCTCAAAAGTAGGAGATAAAATCGAGAAACAACGGTGAAGTGAATTTGAGAGCCTCTCGATGAAGGAAGAGCTGCCATCGGATCCTGAAACTGTACGGAGTACTTGATGAGGACAACAGATGCGCGCTTCTTCACGGTCAAATAAGGCCAAGACTAGGCTTTATCACGTGAATATATCAAACTTTAACTTATCGCCGCTTATCGATAACAAAAATCTGCCACCAGGAGTCAAATCTCGAAGCGACAGCAACCAAGCGATTGACATAGTAGCAAGAATCAGATATAATCATGCCTCCAACCCAGTGTTTTAACTGCAAATCCGCGCGAGCGGTTATAATCCGACCGAAAAACCGCCACAAGCTCTGCAAAGAATGCTTTCTAGCCATATTCGAAACAGAAACCCACCAAACAATCATAAACAGTTCGCTGTTCGCCCCGGGTGAACGAATCGCTATTGGCGCGAGTGGTGGAAAAGATAGTACCGTTCTTGCTTCAGTGTTAAAAACGTTGAATGCACGGTATAATTATGGCCTTGACCTCGTTTTGCTTTCTATTGACGAAGGCATAAAGGGCTACCGTGATGACAGCCTAGAGACAGTGAAACGAAACGCGATCCAATACGACATGCCACTGGAAATAGTCAGTTATGGAGAACTATATGGCTGGACAATGGATCAGGTTGTTGCAGAGATTGGGAAAAAGGGCAACTGCACATATTGTGGTGTCTTTCGACGCCAGGCGCTTGACCGTGGCGCTGCAAAGTTGAATATCAAGCACGTTGTTACTGGTCATAATGCCGATGATGTTGCAGAAACAGTAATGATGAATCTGCTACGTGGTGATCTTCCCCGCCTTGCTCGCTCGACTAGTATCATTACAGGTTCGGCTGCGAGTGATATAAAACGGAGCAAGCCTTTGAAGTATGCATATGAAAAGGAGATTGTCCTATATGCCCACCACAAGAAACTTGATTATTTTAGCACCGAGTGCATATATTCCCCAGAAGCATTTAGAGGAAGCGCTAGGACTCTTATCAAAGATTTAGAGAGAATTCGACCCAGCGCTATTCTTGACATTGTCCGGAGCGGGGAGGACATGGCCAAATTGGTGCCACCTGAGGTATGTGGAGGCTCTGGGTGCTCATCTATAAATGCCAATGGAGTCGACGAGCTCTCCGCAGGTGGCTGTGGTAGCCAGAATGGAAGAAGCAGCGGCGGGGAAATGGCAGACATGGAGAAGAAGCTCACAGAAGATGAAGCCGCCAAGCCTCGCGAGATCGAGATATCCCTATCTTCCCTTCCCCAGAAGCCTGGGAAAGCTGCCTCTACACAGCCCCCTGCAGCGGCCCAAAGCCGCGACAAAAAACAGAAGCCCCTAAAGGCCCAAACGATGGGACAGTGTGAGAAATGCGGTTATATGTCAAGCCAAAAAATATGCAAGGCTTGCATGCTTCTTGAAGGATTGAATAAAAGCCGACCAAAAACGAGCGTGGAGCTTGTTGTTGGGGTTGAGGAGGAAGAAGGCAGCTCAACGTTAATGAGACAAATGGAAAGCATTCAGCTAGCTGGAAGCTGAAAAGAAGGATACTTTCACCCCATTATGAGATCTGATAGCCTGCCATGGGCCCTGTTAACCATGTGTTAAATGATAAGGCTAATACACGAGCCCCATGGAAAAGTTAGAAAGATCCAACAGCTGGGACTCGCCGCGGAGCGTCCAATTTCGCCAATTTAAGCGGCTACTTTTAATACTGTGTCAGCGCTCTGGCCTTAAGTGTGATTGGTGTCTATCGGCCTCTTCGAAATAAAGCTATATCTACTAACTACTGCAGGTGTTTTGAGGGGAAATTTAAAGCTATAACAAGCGCAGCTGCTATTGTTATTAAGTTAATTTAAGATAGCTGGGAAGCTTAGGGTCTGACTACAAAAAATACGGCTACTACTTTTCTGTCACGCAAGCCCTCAATAGATTTATCGGTTAATCATCGAAACGGAGCGACCATATATCATATCAAAGCGTTGGAGCCTCCCAGTTGTCTCTCTTGAGCCTCATTATAGCACATTGTTTGTTTGGGAGAGCAAACTCTCCTTCCTTATAGAAACCCGCTTCGATAAGGCTAGAAAGATACCTGCCATAAACTGTTAGTTAACTTCGAAGAGGGTATAGAAAACAGTTAAGAGCAGCACTTACTCTTCGTCATCAATTCTGGGCCCGATGGTAATAGCCTGGGTTCTGTTATCCGCCAAAAAACAATAATGAATAAGTGCATTAAGCCATACCTGGGTTTGATGAGGCCTCTTATCTTCTTCGTCTAAAACCACACATCGAAGGCCGCGGTCAAAATCGTCAACCATGACAGGCAAGGGTCGCTTTACCGAGCCCTCCTTGACCCAGAATATTTCAAAATAGCCAAACGGCTTGCCGTTCCAACATCCTATTGCAGGAAATAGGTTCTTCGAGGTAAGACGAGCCTTAATAAATTCCTCTTGGATATCAATAGGGCCACCAGAATCCCATGTTTCCTTGGCTTTCTGACTGTTTAATATTGTATGCAACAATTCAAGATCTGATCTTCCAGGTTTGAGTACCAAGGATTTGATGCCCTCAGACATATTATTACGGCTGATGTATAGTGCCCTACGGTGTCGACCTATCGCATTCTCCTCGGTATCAGGTGAATTTGCAGAGAGAATTGGGACTCTAAACGACAGCGTTTTCTGCAGACTAGGAATGTGGCGGATGTAAAATGTTTCACCCTGGCGAGGAGGCTTTTGGCGGATTGGATGCCGAAGCCACCCATCGAGCATGACCCATTGGGCCGGTGATGGAGGGAAATAGGACGGTACATGGCCACTTGAGTAAAATGAGCCCAACGGTGAAGGGGAAGCGGTCCTTCGGTTGTTTCGGTCTCCGCCGTTGTAACTCTCTGCTCGAGACGGGGAGGTGGTCCCTGAACAGCATGGTGATTCTGACTTCAGTGTCATATCTGGTGTCAGCGAGAAGAGAAAGATATGAGGATCAATCTGCCAAAAACTCCTACGGCTGACAAACATGTCTAGGTCTTCAGGAGGGCCATTGGGATCTTCGAGGCCAACAACTGAGTTCTCCGTTGTAACCAGACCCATTCTCTCAAATTTGAGCAATAAATTCCGACCCTTAAGAACTCCTTCATGCCTAATATGCACCTGCCATTCCCCCTTTGGTCGAGCACGCTCCGGGACTGTGACTGACTTGTCGTTTGTGACACGGTTGTTCGGGGCCGCTTGGTGGAAGTACCAGTATAACGTTGACCAAAGAATCAGCGCAATTTGACATGTTGCGATAGATTTTGGTATAATAGCTTTGCTTGAAGGAAGGTGGATTGATGATATGAAGATATAGTCGCTGTTTAGCGTCGGGTGGGTATAACGGCTTGACTCCCAGTCGAATGGATTCTCGTCTTCGTTTTGGGGAGTTTCATCGAAATCCGACTTGGAGGCTTCCTCGGCTTTAGAAGCCTTAGGGTCGCGCAGGGTGTTTATAACGATTGACCACCCTGGTGGCAGAAGGTTGCCATCGCCGATTTTACTACTCTTAAAGGAGTATCCTCCAAAAACTGGGGTTACATTGAGCGTGTAACCATCAGGGAGAAGGACAGTGGTAGACGCAGGCATTATCTCATGGCCATCAATATGGCCTATGGTATGTTAAAATTGCAAAGATATTGTGTTAGAATATGGTATAATGAACAAATATTCCCGATGAGCCATTCGTACGTTGTTGATTCAATAAAAATTGTATGTGTGTTTCAATGTTCCCATTTTATGTGCCATGTTCAAACATGAACTTGACTCCGGGGCCCGATGACATCAGTAGAGCATTCTGAGTTCAATTATGATGCAAAAGCCGCAATCTGAACTTTGATCAGCCTCAGTCTAGAAGTGAGATTCTCTGCTGAACTGCCAATGTGCGATTCAATAAAGCCCTATTGTAATTCGCTTACAATTTGCTTATAAAGGATATACCCCTCGGACGTCGGGCAAAGTCCTAAATGCAGCTATTCAATAACGCGACCAAAATGCAAAGACGCAAATGCTTGCAATGGCTGCAAATATCAAGCCTATGGAACTTTAGGCGCAGAGGTTGTATTGCCAATTCCCTTCTATATGTCACGATGACATAGTTCTTTACCAAGGGCGAGATCCAATGCTCCTAATCCAACGCTTTTATAAACAACATTCCCTTCTTTGATCCAGTCCAAAAGTTTCCTGTCGGAAATTTTGCCACGCTCGGCGAAATTATCCACCATGATAGTTCTCCAACTCCACAACGCAGAAGGGTTCAAGTTCGGCCTGAATTATTTATCCTGCGTCCAGGAGGCACGATTCGAGGGTATCCACCACCACGGCTCCACGACTCAGAACTGGGCCCGGACAATTGTTATAAACCCGGGCAGCCTCCGTAGCATCCTTGGGGATGCGGGGATCCAATTCAGCCATATTTGGCCGACATGACCCTGCTGCGATAAATCGGCCCTTTCGAGGCGTAGATTGTGTAGATAGCAGGTATTCTGCGGAAAAGAGCGGGTTCTCGGAGGAGGTGCGGCAGAATATGACATCTGCTTTGGCCACTCCATTCATTAGATCTCGCTCATACTCTTTAAATCCAGGGCTTACGGCTGAAAATTTGAAATCAGATCGTCATTGTACCTGAGCAGGCGAGTGTATGTCTCGTAGAAGTGCACTGGCACGGTCAAACGAACGATTGAATATGCTGACGTTCTTGATTTTGGTTCCACGGAGCAGAAGGTGCAAGATGTATGTATGTGCCAAAACGCAATTCGACCAGCACCGAAGATAGTGATGAGCACAAAGCTGCCCTAAATGGGGCAAGATCTTCAGTGTTAATGAGGGCTGTTGGCATCCTAGATGCGTTCGTTGTTGAGAGATATCCAGATCTGGTACCCTGCGTGCTCTACTTTAAGGGTGGGTCCGTGATTGGTAATTGAAGAGCCAGCTTCTTTGGTAGCACTTGGGGACTATGCAGTGGAGAAACTCCCTGGCTCAGAAAATGTGGATGCAATCGAATTTCGAGAGCTTCCAGAAATCGAGGTCCTGGGGAAAGGGGGCGAAACAGGCCAGCTTCGCCGTCTCCTCCATTGATCCTCTGGAAGATTCACCAGCGTGGACAGAACATCTTAGTCGAGAAAGCTCCGCTTAACATAGGTATGCTTGCAGGACATTTCCCGGTCGATACCATGACGATAAGCAGACTTCAAGGGCACAGCTCGAACCATGGTTAGAAGTGGATATCGTAGGCCACTCTATTCGTGGAGAAGGTGCGGGCTCTTTTGAATAACTCCAGAAGAGCCATCCTCTAATCAACTTCTTCGGCCACTTCCACCGGTTATGCTAAAACTGGCACGAGTTGCACAAGGCTGTCAGGCTGACAGGCCCGCAGGGAGCAGAATCAAAAAGAAGATAATGAAATACCGTCGATGCCGATGGAAAAAGCCCCCGCGGAAGCGCGGCTGCAGATATGACGGTTGATGGCAGTCAGTGTGTGGCCTGCGCCTCCGCCTCTTGCCCTGATCTGGCATCTCGTCGTATTCGTCGCGCGTCTAGAACAGAGAAAACGCGCATGCCAAGACCCACTTAATCAACTAAGCTTAAATGACTTTTGAGCCCCATCTTGCTGGCCCGCGGCTGTTCCTTGAAGTGGAGGCCGGCCGGAAAGGGCAAGCAGGTTGGAGATATAAAAAAGAGGAGACGACCCCAGCCAGGTTGTTGAATTTTCTGAAAGATGCGATTCGAGTTATTACCAGGCCTCCTCGCACATTTTCGCGTCTCAATTTTCACATCTTCCTACTTCTCGACCTCGATAATTGAGCAGCTATCGTCATGTCGTGGCCGTTATATTCCTCGACGTCCGCATCCTCTCCTTTGACTTCCTCACCATCATCCGCCTCTTCCCGTATATTTCACATATACAATTCATTTCCGATACATTACAAGATATCAGATCCACAGAAACGGCCTCTATACCACGTTGACAACTCCTACTTCACTCCTGGCACACCGGACCTAAGCCTCTACCGCGGAGAAGATAGGAGGGGACACCTAGCTGCCGTGTGCAAATTCGTCTTGTTCTCCACATGCTCGAAAATTGGATTGATGCCCAAGGCGCAAAAGGACTACCATGACCACCTGAGCAACGATGTGTTCAAGATTGGCCATGTCAGCACAAGCGCAGAAGACATGACATGGGAAGACCTGACACGAGAAAGCCGTGACCATTCGACGTATAGGTTCGAGATGGACGTTCTGGTGCAGAATATGAGTCGGGGACCGGAACTTGGACGACGTGCGTTTGTCTGGAAGAGAACTCATTCAATGGGAGTGGAATCTTCAAAACCGTCTAAGCTGAGTGCGTGTAACTATAAACTCGTTGACGAGGAAAGCGGGAGGATTATGGCTGTCATTGCGAACAACGGGTTGAAGAGCATGAACAAGAAGGGAAAGATTGAACTGTTTGACACACGGGAATATGCATTTGCGGGGGAGCAGCTGGATATCATGATTTTGATGACAGGTGTCGCCCTGCTAGAAAAGGAGAGGAGAAGGAGAGCACAGCGCAGATATGACTATTACTGAGCTGATGACTATGCTCGCTTGCAGGCTGGTCGACTGGGCGGGAGCTGGATATATGTACCCTTTTTGTCCTGATACGATACCCATTGAGAGGAACTTTTCTGTATGATGTACGAAGTATGAATATCATGAATAAAGTGTTATGAGACCATAACTATACCATAAGTGTTTTGACAGGCTCACTAGGCATTGTTAGTAGGCATTAGCTGATTCGAGTAGTTAATAACCCTCAAACAGCTAAGCCAAAAAAAAAAGTGAGCCCACAACTAATGGTCAGCAGGTTGAAGCAGTGTATTTTGACAGCCCCCTGGCCGAATTGGGTTTTTGGCTTCATTGGCTTTAACTGGATTTTGACTGGTTGTGGCCACGATGGGCCAGTTGATGATTGGTTTTGGGCGTCCGCTGCCCAGGCATGTTGGTTGGTTGGCTTTGCCCTTTTTGGGCCTTGAGCGCATTGATTGGTTGTGGCCATAATTGGGCCAATTGAAGGTTGTTCTTCCCACCTTGGGGGGTCTCTGATTTGTTTGTGCCTGCTACCATTTTTGGTAGCGGCTGATGGTACTGATGGCTGGCGTAGCCATAAGATTTTAGATCCAGAAGCGGAAGCAGAACGCCAGATTCGAACAGGGAGCTTCGGACGAGGGGCTTGGCTTGGGAAACTGCGCTACCTGGGCTCGTAGCTGTCAAACGGCTGCGCCAAAAGAGTGTGCTCACGCTAGGGGTCGGCGGACTGAAGCTATATATTAGACTATCACCCAGCACTATTGATCCTGAAACGCCCGCCGAGATGTGAACTTCACCTCCAAGCGTCGCAGGACGATGCCTATATGTCCTTTATGAGCGCTTAGCGAGTCATATCCTCACGAGAACTATTCATTGCGGCCTTATTCAGTAGCTATTTATGTGTATTGTAGTATATCAAAATAAGGGGAAGTAGAAGGAGCGGTAGTAGTCATTTATGTCCCTGGCGAAAATGTATGGGGTCACGTTGCGTGAAGTCAGAATGAGCCAATGGTATTCCTCTAATTTTTGTACTAAATGCGCTCCACCAGTAATATTCGCTTCAATGTAGGCTCCACAAATAAACCTTGAATATATCAATATCTGGAGTTTCTTTTGAGGTTGACTTACCTACATTGCAAACCGAGCAAGAAACCCCAATAAGTATAGAAGTCATACACCAGCTTAATGGCCAGAGTGAGAGAACAAGGAATACCCCTAGCCTTCCAGGCACAACGTCTCCACCCTCTCTTTCGCATGTCGCCAAGTTACTGCGTCCCAGGAGCAGCGGACCATACATTTCTCCCCTTGGATCCCACACTAGCGACTCGACGAAGTTATAGTTCCAAGTACGTACTATGGGTAAAGTCAGCAGGGATTCCTCATTGCCTATGACGCCCAAGGCGAAACAGCTAGGTAACCGACCTAAGCAGTATCCAATGTACAACTATGCAGCAGGCAGTAAGAACAAATATTTAGTAAGGAATGTTACTCTGAATTTCTCCATGGTAGGAAAATAGTAATTAGAAAAATATAGACAACGCTTATATCAGGAAGTAGAAACGGGGGGAAAGAGAAAGGAAAGAAACATAAGGCATATAAGGCATTTAAACTATGACCACATATCTTCGTCACTCTTAACCAGATCTTCCTCCATCAACACCCTTGGCCCGTCCCGTTTCTGTCTTTGCTTCCGCTCCTGGCGGGTGACAACATGGCTGGGCGTCAAGGGGGTAATAGGGGTAAATGGCATATATGGACTATAAGGCGTGCGAGGAACACCCGTCCGTGGCCCATGTAAAAGACTCGTCCTTCGCTCAACGATAGTGGTCTTGGTTGATGGAGCGCTCATGGGGCTGTCGTAAGCAACGCGGAACGGCAGCGGAGGTGTGCTGTGAGCTGTGTTGATATTCAACGATGGAGGAGTAGGGCGGAATTTGCGACTATCCAGTGATTCTTTGCTGGGTGGAGAGGTGAGGAATGATGGGGGAGGGGCCATGCTGGGTTGAGGAGAGTTGAGTTTTGCTTGTTCATGGGGGGTCAAGGGGGGAGGTCCTGGGTTATATGTGCGAGGAGAGAGAGGCTGTTTATCGGGGTAGTCACGAGAGTTGAGTTCGGGTGAGCCCATGGGGGATGAGATGTGAAGGCCCCGTATGGAGCTGCGCCCAAGCAGTTTCTTTGGTGAGGAGGTGGAGTTCTTAGATCTAGAGCTGAGGAAAGAAAGCTGTGAGAGCCTTGAGAATCTTTCGGTTCGTGGGGAGATGGGCGATTCCTTTGATGCTGGGTCCTCCTGGAAAGGAAGACTTGAGTGATGCTGTGGTTCAAACTCGGTCACGGTTGGTAGATGACACGCTGATAGAGGAGAGGATGGAGATACGGGAGAGAGAGGTTGCTGCTGGCGCCTTAGATGTCGGAATTCGGGAGGTCCCTCTGGCGGATTTAGACGGACGGGCGACCTCAACGGCGAAGGGGGGGTTGCCCTGGTAGTAGCAGTCTCTTGAGACATAGCGGATTTCCTTGCATCGTGTTCCATAACAGCTGCGTACAGCCTCTCCATTTCTTCTTGTGCTTTCACCCGGTCAGCCTGAACGACGCTTTCGTCAACGGTTGAAACGCTCCCAGCTATCGATGCTGCTGACTGAGCTCTATTTGAAGAAGACCAAGGCATGTTGAAGGATCGAGCTTTGTTTTTGGGCGGGCTCGGCCAGACATTACTCTGGGTCGTGGTGCTCATCGGGCTGGGCCACAAGTTGTTGGTAGAGAACTCCACTGGAGCTGGCGAATCTTCCATCATTCCTGCTGACGGTTTGACAAGATCCATTTCCAGCGTTCCGTTGGACTCTTGTGCGCCGCGACGGAGACGTCTGCCAACGGTCAAAAGACAGCCTAGCAAGAGAGACACGACGGCGATGTATGCTGCGACTATGGCAACTATCTCTCTCCAGAGCAACGCAGTATCTCTTGTAGCAGATGCAGAGATTGGGGGTCCTTCACTCGGGGGCGGCGCAGGGTCAATCCAGATGCTGGCCCCCCAAATAGAAGCAGCTTGTATGGGAATTGGCTGCAGGCAGATGAGTAGAGAGAGGCCGCAGGCTGTCAGCGTCGACATATAAGCGGGGTACCGAGTAGCTACCATCCTGCAGCAGGAATTTTGGGCATCACTGGGTAGTTATCTCTCTTCCCCTTTTCACCCTTTTTCTTCTTTTCCTCTGAGAGGACGGTTCCCTTAATTTCGAGATATTTGAACCTGCTGCGGGCGAGGGGATCGGCAATGCTGCGATACCAAAGGCGCCTGTCGCAGTGAAGAAAGAAGAGGCCAGGGCACTCGTCCGTCATTGTGTGGAGCAGGGCCGGTGTGATGATAAAGCCCGAGAGGCGCCTCCAGCTCTGCAGTTGGACGCATCGATCATGCAGGCCGCTGGGATTGACCGTGATGAAGGGCAGGGGGTCATGTCCAATGGGGACGACGCATCGCCATTCTTCGCAGGGACGGGATCTCTCGTCAACGGCCTGGTTGGCCGGGGGCCCGTTTAGCTATGCACGACGCAGGGCGAGCAGCCACCCGTCACACTGAAGATAGCGCCCATCACATTTTCCGTTTCTTCATGCGCTTTCGTGCCAGGCGGCCAGCAAATCGCAGCCCAGCGTTTACGGAGTCGCAGTGTGCCTGTTGCTCGTACCCTGTCGTCACTCGATGTTCCGTCAGGCCACACGGCTTGGATTGTTCCTGAAGCGAGGTGATGGCGGACGGGAACTCGCGAAGAGCCTGGCCACTTCATCCTTGCTCTTTTCGCATGTATCCGCTCTGCTCCGAGTGTGATGTCGATGTCGATGCTGATGTTGATGCCGTGGTTGATGTTGGTCTCGCCATCGCTCGGTTGTTGGTAGCGAGTTGTTATTGCCAAGTTGGATTTTAACGACGTGTCTGACCGCTCGCTTTTTGCTTTGAGCTCAGCCGTGGAAAGGCAGCATTACACAGACACTGATCATGTCTCGCAGGCTTTAAGCACCCATGATATCCTCCTTGATTAGATGGCTGGGGAAGATCGGAGAAGAAGCGGTGCTTTCTGTGGCTGCTTATCAAAGTCAAGCAGCTGTTAAAGGCTATAATCAACCAGGAAACCTCACCCCTATATCAAGGTAGGCCAAATGCTACTTACAGTTTACAGCAGAATACCTCAAACCATGGATGTAGATGAGCTTAACTGAGTTGGCTGTGACGTCGTTTTGCAGACGTTTGCGCCTTCTCCATGGGAAAGAAGGCAGTTTTGATAGCCCTCCATGCTGGGGCAGCAAACATCTACACGACATGAGACGGAACCAGAGCTGCTGAAAGACTCCGTTTAGTCTATCTTGATATTACTCTTAGCCAGAGGAAATACAGTCGAAAAGAATCGAAAAAAGTCCTCTATGGGCAACAAAATATCCGCTGTTAGTGGTGTCAAGTCTCCAAACTTCTACGAGCCCGGAAACGCAGTCAACGAGATCTGGGTCGGCAACCTCGAGATAATCTCCCGGCTCCCGTTTGGAGACTCAGACATGGCACAGGCTGGCTGGCCAAAGAACGACTATCCGAAATTCCCCTGGCGGCCGTTTGTTATACCCCTCTTCGCCATGTTTACCAAGGGGGCTGCTGCAGAGCCCTCTGATGGCACTGCAGCACATCTATACCGACGCTCTACACCATACGAGACGATAACGACATCGACGATGAGGGTTCCGACTTATCTCATCTCGGGCTTTGTCGTCATGTATGCTGTCCTTACGATTCTGTTTGCTTGCACACCCATGATTGAATACCTGCTCGAAACTGTTTACCTCAAATGTCGGCGCAGTGCAAGAGATTTGCTGAAAAGAAGCGTTGAATGTTTACACGAGATCAATCTTCTGGGCATATACAGCAAGCCTTATCTTATATACAGCTACGTTTACTACGGAGGTAAATGCCCAACTGCGAAGATACATCCCCTGGGTTTGCTCTGTGTGCCGGTTAAAGATACCTTCTACCTCGCCATGGTCCAGCTATTCAGTACGATATTCGCAGCGGTGACATGCTATGGTGACATATACCGGTACTGTAAAGAGCCCCGATCCAAACAGGCCGATGAGATGACGCTCTGGCAGGAAAAGAGCACAGAGATAGGCGAAGGGAATCTGGATAGCGGAAAGGAGAAATCTCGACCCGGGGAATTTGCGTCATGGGTTTTTATCGTCAACCTCTGTGCGATTATTGAAGCTGTAACCACAGTGCTCCTTCTGATTAATCTGTCCAAGGACTAGTTGTCCTCCTTTGGATATGGGTGGTTCGCATATAGATAAAACTGCCCAGATTTGTCCGCTAGGGCCACTTGACACGCAGTGATATAGGATATAGGACTGAGGACCGCATTGCTAGCAGTAATATACATTGCCCATTGTTTAGTTCCACAGGTCTCGCCACATTTGCTTGAACCCGTAGCCCTTTGAACTGTCCTCGTCGTATATCCGAGCTTCATGGGTAGAGCCAGACGATGAAGAAAAGCCTCCCAGTCTCGTTTGATGGCCACTAAAAGACCCTGGGTTTGTCGACCCTCTATTTGCCCGCTCCCTTATCTCCTCAGGAAGGTTGATGGCAATATCAGCGTAGCAAGAATCCAGCTCCCGCTGAAGGTTGAGGTATGGTCTTTGAGAGACCTGGGGAGCCTGAAGATTATAAGATCGTATAGACTCATTGAGTCGCTTAATTTTCAATTCGTGATACTCCCGCTCAGTGGCCATATACTGCGGATCCCGTAAGCAAGGGACGTCTTCTAGAATTTCAGCAGTCGCAGGTGAAGCTGTATTGGTATCATCATCGGAGCTAGCCAGCTGTACACGAGACTGCAATAACTTGTTATGCTTCGACTCCGCAGTAGCATAGCCGCGTGCCCGTCTAACTTGCTCCTCTAGCGTTCCACCCTGAGCCCGAATCATTAGCACAGCATGATTCCTCCAGTTTTCTCTTAGCTGGCTTCGAAACTGCTTGACTTCCGACTGCATCGAATGCTGTTTTTGTATCCATTCAGGCGTAGCCTCTTGTTTCTGTAGGATTCGGTTCATCACGAATTCAGTGGTATCAATGTACGGACTATCAGCAGTGGGATCACGTTTGGTATTTTTTCCTTTGCCGCGAGGGATATTGTTAAACTGGCCACGCGCCATTGCATCTTCTATCCGTTCGTTCGCCAGAGAGCTGAGGCCCTGAATGGAGACCGGGAAAGAGTGTATGCCGGGACCGAAACGGTCTTGCAGTTCCTTACGGAATAATTCTCGTTCCTTTTTGGAGATACTTGAATCCTGCTTCAACGTGTATTCCGTCGTCCGCTCGCGGGCAGCTGCCAACCTCTCACCAGATGAGAGGCTTCGTTTCGGCTTAGGAGCCGTGGGTACTGGCCCTCCTGGCTGTGGCGGCCGAAATGGGACACGCATGGGTTTACTCGCGTCATTCAGCATACGAAGTGTAGCATCGTGGATGCTCTCGTTGCCTGTCCACGGCATCGCACCAGCTATATCCCGCGTTGCTTTCCCGGCGCTTTGCTATTGAAATGAAATTCAATTAGCCTCCAAGGATACACTCCGCAAAGAAAGGAGACTTTGATGCTTACCGGAAGGTTCGCATAGGCAATTGCAGCTGCATTTTCATTTTTGAATGTAGTTTCGGCGATTCTCTCCTGGAGTCTTTGCTTCAGCTCTTCTGAAAATCCGGTCTCTTGCTGGAGATTGTTCCGTGCGGAACTGCCGCCCTGTGTCATGGCCTCTTCGGTCATTTCGGCCAGCCTCCTCGACATAGCACCGTCGCCATCGCTTTTACGCTCCTTATTCTCACCATCTTGCAGATGTGGTTTCTGGTCATAAAGGCATCGTTGGTATGAAAACGGCCGCGCAGTGGGCGCTTGTAGTATTGAGATCGGAGGCTCTCGGGCAGATAACAAGCTCTGTAGTTTCCGCCCAACAATCCTATGGTAGTTCATCTCTCCTTGAGACAATCCATCACTAACGACCGAACCTGATCTTCTTCGTTTCTTTTCTTGTCGTCCTTCGTCGCTTTTCATCCAAAAATTGTCTCCGCTATGGGAAGAGCTTAGTCAGTAGTTATATGATTAGCTAAGACTCAAGTTCTTGGCATCAAAAAGAAGTTTGAAGAAAAGAAAGAAAAGCGATGTTGGTGCCGGTCGAGCACTTTTGACAGAAGAACCAGACGAAGCAGACGGACGGACTGAGCAGACTGTGGGTGGCTATAATTAGATTTACCGGGGGATTTCCTTTCTATCTTTCCTTTCCACGCACACCGTCACCATGCCTCCGAGGTCAGCAGCAACCGCGGGAACAATCCGACTTCAGTCTCTTCCGCGATTGAAGATCAAGAGTCCCATGAAATATGACCAGAACCCATGCCTTGCTGCTATGACGGCTGTTCTCAGTAAGTGCCTCTCATCAATTGATTGATGGCTCAGGACGTACCTGGTGTCGTCGAAGCGCAAGAACAGTAGCTAATCTCTTTATCTTTTCATCAATTAGACTGCTGGGGAGCCACGGGATACAGTATCCAAGGATGCTTAGCATTGGAACAGCAATTGCGACTATGCACGGACTCGAACGTATGTTTTTTCTTGACTTGATAATATTCAAGGAGATAAGCTTGAAATTGGTAGCTAACTAGTATGTCGATACAGCCTACGAAAGTCACAAAGAAGAACACCGTCAACTACCATCTTGCTCGAATGTTCCGCATGATTTCCCCCCGACGGAAGGAGAAATAAATTATTTAGCTCGTTTGTTGCATTGGTTACTTTTTTCGCATTGCGCAGTCAGCTCTTTGGTACATACACATTACCGGACGGTGACGCCAAGTCAATGCTTCCTCCCACGGGTATGACTGAGACATGTACAATTGGTCTGGTGAGACTTTTGGGGGGGTTCAAAACCAATCTTTGCATTGGTATGGAGTTTGGGGCTTAACAACGGAAATGTGTTACTATTTTTCCCCGTTCCAAGAAACGGTGTATTTACTACTGCTGTATAATAGAACTATATTAAAACCTCCATTATGAATGCCGGTTATACCCTCTTGAGGAATTATTAGCTGTTGCAGTATGAATAGTTTAAATACTATTTACTATCATTTAAACTTGCCTACTCACGCCCGGCCGAATTTAAGTGTCAGCTTGTTCCCCGTTGGGCGAGTAGTATACGCATCAATTGGCTCCATTCCCTTATCCTCCACAACGGAAGTAGAGTAATTTGTATAAAGTGCAGCAACGACCAGTTTGATTTCTAGAACTCGATTAGTAGAGCTACATCGCTCGCGAAAGGGGCGTTTAGAATATCGTACCTTGTAAAGCAAAATGGCTTCCAATACACATTCGACCTCCGCTACCAAAGGCCCAGAACCAACGTTTCATCTCGTCCAGCTCTGAAGAGTTAGCAGGGGCAATCCACCTCTCCGGGAGCCAGATATCCGCATTTACGAAGACGTCTTCGTTCTTGTGAAGAGAGTATGCCTGGGCATTAACTCGCGTGTTCGGCGGCAAATTATGGTATCCTACCAAAGAAGCGTCTGCGGGAGTCAATCGAGGTTGAATCCCTGGAATTGGCGGATGGAGCCGCAATGTTTCCATGATTACCGCATCCAAAAGGGGCAGAGCGTCAATTGACTTGTGAGAAGGTAGTTCTGAACTACCATCCTTATATGCGGGTGTAATGTTGGGTGTGAGCGTTTGCAGCTCCTCTCTCAGCTTCTCCTGAATATCTTGATTTTTCGAGAGCTCCCAGAACAGATATGTCAGGGTTATGCCACTTGTTTCGTGTCCGGCAGTGAGATGATCGAATGTCTCACACGCAAGCTCAAGCCGTATTTTCTGGGTAGCATCCTTAGGGTCAGGATTGGTAGCAAAGTGCTTTTCGAGTGCTTGCTTGAGCTGTCTGTATACAACTGGTTCGGCAACGGCATCTGAAGAAGAGATGTTTTCTTCTGCCTTGTCTAACCTATCGAACCCCCATTTCTCCATGAATTCATTTGCGCCATCACACCATTTAGGGATTAGAGGAAATCCCAGTTTGTAGGACCAGGAAAGTAGCTCTGGCGTTTCTTGGATATAGAATTCGAATTCCTTGCGACTGTGATATATGGAGAGCCACTCCTTCCGTGGCAAGGGGTTCTGGATGAAATTTGATGCAGCCGGCAATCCAAAAATATAGGCGGTAATGAAATCCAAAGCTATGGCATTGTTCAGTTCGTGGACTTCGACAGAAGACCCCGAGTTTGCATATGCCTCGAGTACTGGGAATAGTCGATCGAAGAGTATAGCTTCGGTGACTGCTTTCAACTGGGGTGATGCTTGCAGGTACGACTTGGAGTATATATTTGCAAGCATACGCTTTCGAATCGAGTGTTCCTTGCTCCCAACCATCGAGAACATGCTAATAGTTCTATAGCCAACCGTTTAGTATTGGCTAAACAATGAGTGTGTATATAAATAGTAAAGGCTTACTTACCCAAAAGAACCAAATAGGCGTGGATACCAGTCATGTTTCTCATATCCACCCGTGTATACTGTCCGGAGGCCACCTTCGTAGCAGTTTATTGATACTTCTGACGGCCCCAAGCGGACGATGGGCCCATGCTTCATATGAGCGGCATGGATCGTCCTATTTCCCGTCATTCGAAACCTCCGCCAGAGGATCCAGAGAGGGGAGAGCGGGGAGGTAAAGTGTGCATTTGGGATCTTGGCCAGTGGTGAGAGGAAGGCCGGGTATATGATGAACTTATATATTCCTAATGCCAGCAGCAGTGCGGCAGCCGTGGCTTGGAACAGCCCTGAAGAGAGAATGGCCATGGTATCGGTCTCTATTCTTTGGGAATGTAGATGCTGTCATGTCTCCAGGGAGAAAGAAAGATGCCCGTCCTCATCACTAGTTATATATGTGACAGGACCACGACGTGTTGGCTAGCTAGTTAAATAACTACCCAGCGTAACTATACAACTTGAAGTTAGTTTTCTTTAAGGCCCACAGGAAAAGACATCGTATCGTGTATGTATGTGTGTGTGTCTGTAAAGTTATTTGGGCCAACCTGATAATCTGGGGTGATTCTGGGGCCGCCACATAACTACCGTTGAAGCCTAATATTTTTTAAACTCTTGTGATCATCCGGGCGCTTCGTCACTCATAAAAACTCCAGCGTCGTCTTTCTCCCTCGTCTTTCTCTCCTGTCATCTCTTCTTCGCTTTCCATGCGTATACTCGTTCGTCGCTGTTCATCTTGCCTGTACGGAGTACTCCGTAAGAATACCCCCTTTTTCTTATCAAAAGTGCACTCTGCGCCCTGCACTTGCTCTCTCCACTTGCTGACCCTTGTCCGTTGTGGAAACGGCTATTTAGCCGATGCTTTCGTGTCGCTTTCCAGCTATACCAGCCAGGATGGTCCATATCTTGCGCTGGAATTCTTTGCCAGTTGGTTAATTACCCCTTATTTCTGGCGGGTAATATGATGCTAGGCTCTGCTCTGCTCTGCTAGCTGCCTGTCCACGGCATCTGATGCCACTCAACAAACAGCACTCAGTCGAAGAGGAAATACAATTTTTCCTCTAGTTCACCAACAAGTGTTGCCTGACTAGTGTGATGCGCTTTTGCACATGCTTAGTTACCGGTACTAAGAGTTTCTCGACTGTTTCTAGTGGTCGCTGGCATGCTGCTTGTTCCTTGTCGTCGATGCCACGCCGGGTCCCCTGTACATATGCGACTGGAACTGTCTGCCCCGAGCTAACCACTGCAAGGTCCTCGGAGTGGCCGCCTGAACCGGCAACAGGATCGTAGCGTGCGCTCCTGAAAGGCCTGGGATGCTTTGCCTCGAGGATGCGGCCCTTGGAGCCGGGTTATATCTAGGCTTAGATGAGGAACTGCATTAAGCTGCCGGGATCATGCTATGGAACGCTGGGCTAGGCCTGCTGCAAGCCATACGCTAGTGCCCAGGTACTCCATAGCCAAAGAGGCGTCAAGAGCCTTCGCTAACTAATATTCCGGCCTCAGTTATCTCGTTAATTATTATTTTCAACAGTCATCCCGTCTGGCAATACTTTTGATTTGCGTCCGTTAGTTACCATAGGGGAAATAAGTGAATTACCGTAATTATTGGACTTCACGGTCCTTTCAATTCACTTACTTCCCCTATGGTAGCTTATTTAACCAGCGTCACGTCATCTACTGTTGGAATATCCCACTTTACCTACAGCTCGGTATCCTTGGAGCATTACGCCTTTTTGTCCCTTATGTCTAACAAAAGACGATGTGCCGTCATAAAGTCTGGCGAACCTATATAAGTTGCGCATATTTCCCCTTTCGCTATGCGAGGTTTACAGGTGGAGGAAGCGAGATCACAACCGTTCAGTCCATGGGAGGTCTTGAAGCTCTTCTGGGCTGAGGACAAGGTTAACCGATGGCTCAGCGCGATACAAGATACCACAGAGACTCCAAACAACCTTCTTTGCCTCGCTCTACACGTCCATATCTACCAGGGCAAGGCTTCTCGGAAGCAATGAGGACAATACCAGTTGCATTGTTATGCTTGTGTGGCTAAATAATTGAGTGCAAAGTCTCCAATATTTTCCCAACTTTCAATCACTTCGATTAAATATACATAGAGCCTTCCGCCGCGCCCGTTATACAGCTTAGAGAAGATGGTGCTGGTGGGGTTGTGGGTTTATGGGATGTGCCGACTGGGTTACCTATTTGCAAAGGTGATCAGATTATCCTCAAAACTACGGACCCTGTTGGCCTTCCGCTCCCGGATGCTGACCTTCTAGAACTCCACTAGGTTTTGCAGCGTGTTGTTGCGATGGCTGGTGGTGCAGAACCTCGAGATTACACCTATAAAACAGACGATGAAGACGATGAGTGGTGCCTAGGTTGATGACATTTATGCGACCCCCATGGTGTATCTGTTGAGCCTTAATTGCCACAGAACACTTGCATAATAACTCAAAGTGTGGAAGCTATCGGGGCTTATGACTCTCTAGCCCTGTGCATATTACTTGTGGCGGGCATGCCTTTCAGAGGCACAGAGCTAGCGTCTTTACAGGCCGTTAACACCGGCCATACCGGCCGAAGAGTTTTCATTTACGATGACACCCTCCTTGTCATATGCGAATACAGCAAGGCAGAAAACGTATCCGGCCACCCAGTCGTGGTTATACGTGCTCTACCTCAATATATCGCGCGTTTATTTATTATGTTCCTTGCTCGCATTCGGCCTCTGATTGAATTCATCAACTTCACCATTTAGAGTCTAACCCCGGTCACCCAAGAAGCATACGCAGCTCTTCTACTGTCCTCTCCGGGGCCTAACCTCTCCCTGTTTACATCGATAGTCACTTCATCACTGAAAAAAAATATCTCTACAAACACTTGGCCTGGAACTTACAGTGAGTGACTGGCGACATGTTGCAAGTGCTATTGACCAGAAATATCTTCGGACAGACCAAATGCTAGAGAAGGCCGAAAGGCCAGACATTATTCATAGTCTACAATCGGGCTACTCATACGAAACTGAACAACAGCACTATGCTATTTGGCTTTAATATGTTGTCTTCTACCATAGAACGCACGATCACCTTGTATTTATTAGAATATTCCACTTTGGCTACAACATTACCCAAGGTATCCTTGGGGCATCAGGCCTTTTTGTCCCTTGTGGTTTCTTATATTTGTCCTGGTAAAGCTAGCTAATTCTGCACAATATTGACCCAGCACCCTCAAGATTAGATACATAATAACTAGTTACTCCACATCAACGAAAGACAGCTGGCGTTAATTCGTCGTATCAAATCCTTCATCCTTCCTGGCCCTTGACTGTTCGTGTGGATGAGTAACTCTCGTAACTAGTTAACGAGTTCGTAAACTATAAAAGTTGGTGACTCGAAAGTAAACATTCAGAGACTTTGATAAATAAACCACCACAAAGCACACCACAGGTTGCTCAACACAACAATCTTCCGCCAGTCAAGCAGAAAAGGAGAAGAAGAATAAAAGAACAGAGTCTCTATCTGATGCTACTACGTCTCCCACCCGAGCTCATCTACTCTATCGCTGCCTTTCTCCCTACCGCAAGCTGCCTGCTGCGCCTGGCGCAAACCTGCCGTCGCCTCTACACCATAGTCGCCGCAGACAACTATCGTATCTTTCAGGCCTTTGTTCAGGGTCAGTATCCCACTGCCGCTGTTCCGCCGCTCTGGAGAGATGCAGCTCACGCACTCACCTTGCGTTCTCATGCCTTTCGCTGCCGCGCCGTAACCGCTCGGTATGTCGAGCCGCCGTCCAATGCAGTGAGGATCGGGAAGCCCAAGACAACCCGACGAGACAGGCCGACCCTGGGATATCGGCCGGTGATTGATAGCTACGAGTCATGGTACGGCGACCACTGGTTTGCGAGAAAAGAGGTGCTGGCATGGGGTGCTGGAGCAGACGTGGTGCTTCGTATCAAGGACCTGAACAGTCACGACCACCATGCCGGAGAAGCCGGTGACAATCGACAGGACAGCTATGACGGCGCTAAGTGGGTTGTGTTTAATGACTTGCCTAGCGTGAATAGCTGGGATGATGTGGCAGGCCTGCATCTGCTTGGTGGGAGCTCCTCCGTTGACTCTCCCGACGCTGAGGATCTCATCGTTGGACGTCGAAACGGGGAGCTTACTCGCCTATCTATTTCGCCTAGCCAGGGCTCTGCTACCCACGGGGCATCGTTTGATACCCAAGGCCACAAGTTGGACTATACAGACCTCAGTGCTGGGACCGAGAGGGTCCTGGCTGTTTCTCTGGATCGAGGCGAGATAGCATTCTATAAACTGGACTCACCGGATGATATCGTGCAGCCTTTTGCTAGCTTAAAGGAGCTTCTGCATGGCGCTTCGAGAAATCGATGCTCGAAGCTCCTTTCGGACCAGCGAATCGTCGTTGGAGCTGACGGCGGGTCTTCTAAGATCGATGTCTATAGCTTTGACCCGGTAGACGTGGGGATAGCGTGCTCTATTCGAATTGAAGACTACGAGTCAGAAAGAAAGCCACGGGTTACTGCGATGGCACCGCTGCCAGCGCTGAGCTCTATGAAAGAAACAAGCTCCCAGGACCTTTTTCTATCGGGCTGGGAAGACAGTAAAATAAGGTGATTAATTGAACTTGCAAAGCCTTTAACTGTTTATATATATATCTCTTCTGTCTAGCTAATGTCTCCTACAGGCTCCATGATCTACGATCTTCACGGCCATGTGTTGCAATTTACGGTGATACGGTAGATGATAGCCCAGTGTATTCCCTGCTTCCAATCGGCCACGAACGGTTGATGGTTGGCAGTGGTGCGCATGGTCTTCTGAAGCTTTTTGATTTGAGGGTTACTGGAAATCATCAGATTGATTCCAGTAACATATCCCCGTCAGTACCAAGGTGGAATCGTCGACGAAGGAGTTATAATTCGGTTGTGCGTGGTTTTCAACTGAATCTGCCTACAAGTGCTCCTAAGGGCATATCAATATTCCTTAGTGACAGGCAACCTGAAAATCGCCATAACACTAGGTTTCAACGGAGCCTCAGGCCCCGGTATCGAGGACCCGTGTACACCATGTCTCTCCCATCTCCAACATCGTCAACACTATACGTTGGCCTGGTAAACACTGTGATGAGGCTGGACATGGTTGGGACGGAGGACTTGTTCGCGGCTGGCGAAAATGATAAGGCTGGACAGAACTGGTCTTCATTAAATCTAAGCTTACCACTCAATGCGAGAGCTTCTCCTGGTCACCAGCCGGCTGACCTGTCTTGTTATGAACGCCCATCTCCTGAAGATAACGGGAGAGGTATACGTTTGTTTGTTCAAAAACCGTTCTGGAGCTCGCCGGCTGCTGCGCATCAGGATGATCACATTCCTGGCTGGGACCAACGCTGGTTCCAACCTTCACTCAATAGAAGCACCCAACCAGAGGACAGGTGGAGATGATGAATAGAATTGGCGGGCGATCGAAGAAGAAAAATAGAGTATACTAAAAGTGCTATATATGCTAGGGCTGATTTCGGTTAGAAAGTTGATACTATAAAAGGAGTTTATTTATCCATTGAACTTATTCATATAGCTTTTTGATTTCTTTTGCATATTATTGCTTATGCTAATCTGAAGTGCACTCATAGAAGAGGCACCGCTGGACGGACCCTTCTAACTAGATAAATGGCACATCTGAACTTGGAAAATGACAGCCCAAGTGTATGGACCCTGAACGCAAAAACGCCTTGCTACTTTGACTCCAAACATATAAAAGGAAAAGAGGCGAATACAACAGGCCTCCTGAGAAAGAAAGAAAGAAAGAAAGAAAGAAAATGCACAGGCTTCGGTCTATTTTTGATCAGTCGTCAAACTTGAAGCTCTTGCCTGGTCCGATATCGATTGGGCCACCACGGTAGGAACCGCGCTTCTTCTTGTTTTTCTCCTTGGTAAAGCCTTTGCCGCGAGTGACTGACAGATCACGGTGAGCACGTTCAGCGTATGCATATGGAACATAAGCGTTGGATGGATGATTGTGAGGGAGTTCACCGGCCGCAGCTAGCGGTGTTGGTCTGGCTCCTACATGTTTGCGAACCGGTTTGGGGTCAGTCTTTGACTTGAAGTCGGAGTCGCTTTGGCCAGATGTGCCTGCTAGAGTAGCGCTAGAGTCCGAAGACTCCTTGCTCTCATCCGCAGCAGAAGATTTGGGCTTGTCATCTTCATCATCGCTGTCTGACGAATCGGAGTCAGAGTCAGAGTCGGAAGAGGAGCTATCACTGTCTGATTCAGGGAGTGGAGTTTTGATAGCTTTCTTTAGAGTTGATGCTTCTTTCTTCTTCTCGGCGCCAGAACTGGAGTCTGAATCGGAGTCTGAATCAGAGTCGGAGTCAGAATCCGAACTAGAGCCAGAGCTCGAGTATATCTTCTTCTCAACCTTTTCTTCATCATCAGAGTCAGAGTCGGAGCTGGAATCTTCGGAGGAATCAGATTGGACTGATTCTAGCTTTGCTTTCTTTGCGGTGGGAGCACCATCCGAGTCAGAATCCGAGTCAGAGTCAGAATCGGAGCTCGAATCGGAGGAGGACGAGTCGGATTCCAGTTTGCGCTTGAGTGGTTGTTTCTCCGTAACCTTCGGGGCCGGCTTGGGGGCCTCTTCTTCTTCTTCTTCTTCTTCATTATCCTCACTGCTGTCCTCGTCGGAGCTATCCTCACTCTCAGATGAGCTGCTGGCTGCGTCCTCCATCGAGACATCCGAGCTGGCGTCACTTGAATCCGAGTCTGAGTCGCTGTCACTGTCATTCTCAGCATCCTTTCCAGCATTCTGTGCTTCCCAAAGTTCATAAATGACATTTAGTGAAGGGATCCCCTCCATGCTCAAGTTTTGTTTCGCGGCCTGTGCGTCCCCTTCCTGCTCTGCAAGTAAAGCTGTCTGGGCCTTGACGTATCCATGGTCACCTAGGAACTGCGTAATGGACGCAAGGAGCGCTGGAGAAACAGAGGCGACCTTTGTCTGCGTTTCATCAAGCAGTTAGCTAGCTGGCCAGCAAGTGATATTAGATTAATCATGACTATACCTTTTGCTTTGAGGCCTTTGCAGAGCTCTTCTGGGCCTTTCCGGCCCTCACTTTCTTCTCAGCAGCCATTGTACAAAAACCAATTGACAATTCCTTCTTGTGAGAGTGAGACGAAGAAACCGAATTCGCCTTGAACATCGAAATATCAAAATCTGTAAAAAAAATGTGGAAAATCAAAAAAAAACTTCGCGGGAAGAAAGTTTAAACGCACAACCGCCACGCTAGTCCTAAAAGGGAAATGACATGGATGGTCTGTTGAATCTGCTTTTCCTGATCAGCGAAAGTGACAAGGACAAGTAGAGGAATACGAGGAGAGTAGCAGATGTAAATGAAAAAAAATATAGAGCAGATTATGTTCTTTTCACTATGTCTTCTATTTCAACTGATGGTTTGGTATATTTATTGTGAAAAGGTACTGAGTGGTATTATGTACTGTAAAGTTATAGTAACCTTTCACTATTGGCTAATATGTAAAGTTGCTGCCTTTTCATTGGTTCATTAAATAAGGTTAACCAATAGAATATCCGGAATATGCGGCTGTAACAATACCATACGGGAATCCGACTTCGCCTGCAGCAGGAAGAAAGGCGAAGCAGAAGGACGAAACAACTTGACAATCGCAACACAGCAACCACACGGCAGAGAACTCGACAGCCTGGCAGCTGCTATCAGGCGGTACGGCCGCAGACGACCTCCACAGAAGCTGATATTCCTCCTCCTCCGGCGACATGAGCTCGCGCGATCCTTCTCGAGGCCGTCCGGCTGGTGCATCACCACGCCAGGACCGCCGCGGCGGCGGAGAGATGCGTAACGGTTCAGGATCAATGCACCCGTCATCTGGATCTTCGAGAGCAGAAAGATTCGAAGATGAGAAGAGAAGGATAATAAACAGTTGTTTTTCAAAGAAGGATGCCGATGGGTCGAGTAAGCACCTCCTCTGTCCCTAGCCTACTACCAACGAGGCAAGCTAGCTTGACTAGACGGCAGCAGCATCACAAACGTATCCATCGCCAGAGGCTACGGGCGTTTCCGTGTCCAAAGATGCTATTGAAAGACGTTTCTGGATGAACAGATTGCTAACGGTCGGCCAGCACTTGAGTCGTACATCACCCATATCCGTATCACGGAAGATGCAGCCTATCCATCAGCTCCGCCTCCGACCACCTCCCCACCCGAGAATAAGAAGCCGAGAGCAATTATTGTTTCGGTACGAAAGTCAGGCCGAGTTCGAATGCACAAGTCGAGAGAGAACAGTGACGGCTCGTTCTCGATAGGGAAGACGTGGACGCTGGACGACCTATCACGCATCCAGATATATGACCACTTTATCCCGTCAAGCCAGGTTGAACAGCAGCAAAAATCATGGGCTGCAGACTTGGGATTCATTGTCACCATCACTAAGCCATACTACTGGACTGCGGCAACTTCCAAGGAGCGGGATTTCTTTATCGGCAGTCTTGTAAAGATATACAAGAAATACACTGGTGGAAAAGTTCCGGAGCTGGTTGGGCTGGACCCAAATGAGAAAGAAGCGCTGGCTGGGACCTTGCCGTTGGTTTCTAAACCTCCTCCGCAGTCCCAATCGCAATCGCAATCTCCCCCTCAGTCTCAACCGCCACCCCATTCCCAGCCTCAAAGTAGAGGCCAGGACCCAAGGTTGATGCCCGGAAAGGGTCCTCGTCCCCAATCTCCAGCTACAGGGCCGAACCGGTCCCAATCCCCATATTCAAGCCTACCTCCTAGCCGCGATGGTCCACCAGATATACGGAAACAACCGTCTAGAGAGCAGTTTCTACAAAACAAACCTAGCCAGGACCAGATGCCGCGCGGACCGCCCCCAGCAACTTTACTACCACGCATACCGAGTGATAGTAGCAATAACAATTCTACTACCAACCCACCGCAAAAATTTCCTCTTCCAACGTCGCCTGTAGAGCCACCATCAAGGAAACTTGTAGATGCCCCTTCAACTGAGAACCTTGTACCATCACCGGTTACGTCAGAACATCAGATTTTGCCAAATAGGACGTATAAACCGATGCCATTATCGCCCGTATCGGACGGCGGATTACTGCCAAACAAGGTGTATACCCCCATGCCAGCCCCAGCCCTATCACCCAAGTCAGAGGACAGACCACACCCCTTTGGTCAAAACAAACAGCATCAACCTAGCCCGGACAGTGGTGATATATCGCCATTTAGCAAACCCGTGCAAACTCGCCCGTCTACTAGTGAATCTTCATTACCGCCTTCGTTGCGACCAGCGTTTGACAGGTCTCCTAGCTATGACCAGAAGAGCATAAAGAGCGTCAAGAGCAACGACGGCGAGGAGGATAGGCATAAAACAGCACCTGCTTCTCGAGGTTCCCCCAAGGTTGAGCTTCCGCTGGCAGCCAAGGACGTACCGCAACCTGAACCACCTAAAATAAGGCCACCAGCCATTAACGGTGACTTTGCCTCTGATATGGAGAAGGCACTGGCGGGCCCTGCTACACCAGAGCCTCCAAGTGAGCCACTTGCGAAGACTGAGTCATCTCCAGAGCAGTCAAAGCCGCCAGTGATAAACGTTCCACCGGCAGCCGCAAGCAGCGCGTCGCTTCCGGAGCCTGAACCTGAACCAGAGCCTGAGGTCGAGACTCATCGACGCGGACTAGGCCCTATGATGAAGAGCAAAGGCGGTGCAAAGGATGTGGCTAATGTTCTGCGGAAGGCCGCAAATGCATACAACGCCTTCAAGCCCAGAGCTGGCGGAGCAGCGGAGCGTCTGCTGGCAGCCAGAGAGAAGGAGAAATCAGAGGGACCGGATGGAATCACAGGCGTTGTCCCCGCGCCGTTACAGAGAGGAATCAGTGCAGAGACCACGACCAAGCCTGCGGCTACTGAGCCACCCAAGGTAGAGGTTACGGAAGCCGGTGCTGGCAAGGAGATCTTGTTTGATAAATCTACAAGTTCAGCAGCAGACTCTCCATCCCTGAAGAGAAAGGAGACGAAACCCGCCAAAGAGCTGCGGGAAGACAACACCAAAAAGTCCTGCAGTGCACTTGGGATCGACCCAGCCGTTCTCGGTGGCCGTGGCGTGGAGTTTGACTGGCTGCTGACTGACCTTGGATGGGACGGTAGGCTGGGGAAGGACAAGGGAATCGAGGCGCTGGAGGCCGACATACGGCTCGAGATAGGACGGGTGCAGGCCAGCAGCTGGCTGAGCCAACTGCAGTCCTCGCATGACGGAAGAGTCGACCAGCTGGCCAAGCTGTTTGATCGTGCCATGGAAGAGTGCGATGAGCTGGACGGCCTGCTCACGCTGTATTCCCACGAACTCGACGTAAGTCCTTTTTTCCCCCTGTGATTCGTCATGCTTCTCTCTCCCTGTCCCTCTTACTGACCTTTGTTTTCTAAGACACTCTCGGAGGACGTCAACTACATTGAATCGCAGGGCCAGGGACTACAGACCCGCCTTGCCAACCAGCGACTGCTGCAGTCCGAGATCCAGTCCCGGCTCAAGCCCAACGGCAGCTCGCGCTGAAACATCCACTTCGACGCACTTTTTTTTTGCCCACTTGTGTCCATGGTCCGACTGGCGCGTCAACCTGCTGTGCCACTGTGGCCCTTCCTTCTCCCGCCGTGAGACGAGGAAGCAGGCAGCTCACCGGTCGCACAGAAAGTTCCCTTTACTCTATCTGCATCACTGTTGATCTCATAGGCTGGGTAAAAGAAATCTTGCTTCCCATCTATCTAGTTATCTATCTGTTTGTCTATCTTGCTAACGAAGTATCTGCCCGGGAGGATCTATTCAGGGGGGGTTGAGGCGCAAATGATACCCTTTTCCATCTATATCTTCACTGCCGTCATTCCCCTATCTTTCCATCCTACATCTCTCACTCCCTTGTTTTTTTGACTGTACTTGGCATGATGAGACTTCCCTGTACATAATATCAACGAACTAATAATATATATGTCATCTCTTCGTCTCGAGATCGATCGAGATGCTCGATGCTGGCCATCCATCCATCCCCCCTTTTTTATCTAACGGTATACTTCAATGCTGCAGCCGCCGTACCACCGGCCATCTCCCTGTCTGCCTGCCTGCCTGTCTGTCTCTCTTTTGTCTTTGCTCTTCAACGTCTCCTCGTATCGTCCTTGTTTTTCTGCAGGCTTCCCCCCGGGGATCGGAATTCAGGGGTTCAAATCGCATCGCTGCCAGCCCCGGCTTGTGGGGGTCGGCAGCCAGTCAGTCACCTTCTTGCCTGCATTTGGCCGCGATCCCTGGCTGTGACTTGACACTCTGCTCCCTCCCCTCTCTTATCTCTTTCTACGCTCTTCTTCTGGTCATCTCCAGCGGGTTTTAACTGACGGTTGGACTTAATATAAGTAACACTTTGGTACCTTTTTCTTTTCTTTTGACCCCCGTAACTATAAAAAGAAACGAGGAAAAGACAAAAAAATACAACAAACCATCGAAACCACCAAAGAAAAGAGAGAGAGACACGGCAGCGGAGGAGCAGAAGGACCTTAGAAAGGACACACGGCTTAACGAGAATCGCTTCTTCCGCTCACGAAACAGTCGAATTGGACCGAGTATCGACGAGGCCAGAGACGCTGACACGCAGATGTCTGGCGAGGAGGAACCCAAGTCAGTCGCTCACGAACCCCCAAACCCGCATCTACACCAGCAAAAGACAGGAAGAAAGGCAGTGCAAGAGGAAGACGGCGAGATAGCTGGCATACCGCTGTTGCTGCTGCTGCTGCTGCTGAAAAGAGCGCATCTCCCTCTGCTGTTATCTGTATAGCCGGGCTGACCAGTGTTCTCGTCCTCCAGGTGAAGGCTACCCTCGCGATACATCCAAAAATCCCTGGACGAACGACTCCGAGCCCCCTGCGCCGGCAGCAGCCAAAGAGACATCCCGGCCACGGAGGTAGCAGGCCCTTTTTATTTTATTTTTATTTTTTTCGTCGTTGTCTTCTTCTCTTACTCCTTCTTCCTCGCTTTAACTACGTTGTAAGAAGAGACACATCTACTCGGCTCGTTCTGGCCTGCGGTCTCCCTCCTGTGCCGTTGCGAGCGAACGAACCCCCCCAGGATGCCCTGGAAACCCCTACCTCGCATTGCGTTCGCCGTTGCGGTCTATCCCTTCCAGCCGTCGTCGCCCGCAGACCTTCCCCTCGAGCTCGGAGATGAGCTCTACATAATCGAACAGGGCGGTGCCAGCGGCGAATGGTATCGAGGGTACCTGGTCGCGCCGCCCTCGCTGCTGGCCGGCCTGACGAGCATTCGCGGACAGACGCTGGAGGCCCGTGTCTTCTCTGGAATATTCCCCAAGAACTGCGTCGAGGTTCGAGAAGTGCTCGGAGATGCAGACGAGAGGCTGCGGGAGAGCACAGGGACGCTGCTCAATGGCGATTCGCGCTCAATTGGTGCTGTGTCCCCCGAGAATGGCCAGCCAGGAGACATCAAGCCGACCTCCCGCGGCCTGGCTCCAGACGTCAAGGCAGCCCGCACTCTGTCTCCGCTGACCATCCTCAAGTTGGAGGAGGATGCGACCAAGCGACGGTCTGGCATGTCGATGCAGACGGGGCCTGTCGTCTCCCTCCCTCCTCCTCCGCGGCGGGACTCTAGCGGCGCAAAGCCGGCCGCTCCTGTGCCCATGCTCAAGATTGGAGACGAGACGCCTACCTCGATGTCTGAACCGCTGGTCGACGAGATCGCTTCCTGCCTACGTGAATGGCACTCAACAAATATCCATGGACTGCTCCTAGGGAGACAGTACGCTACGTTGGAGAGTATGTCCAACATTGTCCTCGAACTCGACCTCGCTCGACGGCAGCTCCTACACAACGTCCTGACCGCCCAGGAAAGGAAATCGCTACGCGAGGAAACCGTCTGGAATCTGGTTCGAGGGAACAAGATGCTGAGCGGGGATGTCATCGTCCGCGATCCTGCTCAGCGTGGCCGCCTGCTGACCGGAGAGGACTCGGCCATTGAGCTGACCAAACTGCAGTCTGAAATGAGCATGCTTGACGGCAAGATAACACATCCATCAGATACGGTCTCCCTTCATCATCTTCTCTTCGAGCTCGATGCAGTCACCGGCACCATCTCGAGTCCAATTGTCCTCGCAGTCAGTCTGTGTTTACAATCTCCAGCCGGTGACGTCAAACCACTATCTGAGACCTATGCATTAGACGTTCCCTCCGCAGAGAGCTTCTCATCCCTCGCAGTCAGTGGGAAACTAAAGACCCTCTTCACCGAGCTAAGTGCTGCTGATATTGGAGAAATATCAGGCGCAGATTCAAAGCTCTTCCTCGTTGTCAAGGTCCTCAGCTGGGATGCGCCTCGAACGGTGCCTGTCCTCACGAAATCCCACTCCTCCTCCGGGACCAACACTAACAAAGCGGGAGCCCAGTTTAGCACCGCAGGCAAGGGCAGCTTACGGGGTAGAAGGAGTATGATGTGGGGGCCCAAGGGTACCAAAGGTGGACAGCCCGTAGATCCGACTGCAAAGGAGGCTGCTACCAACGCTCCACCTCAATCGGGTGACGGGGCAGATAAGGAGAAACAGACCGCGGTTCCTCCCAAGAAGAAAGACCCTGTCTGTCGTATGGTCGGCGTAGGAGCAATTGAAGTCGGCCCGTTAGTCAAGGCCGGCAAGGTCACAGAGCAGGCGTTCACCATCTGGTCACCGCTAGGTGAGGATGAAGAAGAGGAGGCAGTCACAGACGGTTTCCATGAGATCATCCGTAGTCTTATTTACAGTCCAACCGGACGCTATACCCGGTCATACCAGGCTGCACGGCTACACACTCACCTGTATCCCTTTACCAGCACAGATGCAGACGCCCTCGTCAAGAAGAACCCTACCCTCCTCCACAGCGTTACTCAGACCAGAAGGATAGGCTTCCCTGGGGCGCCAACGAAGCCAAGGTCAGATATCTACGTTACCCTCTCACGAGCGAACATCTCACGAGATGCTCTCCTCTCGCACCCAGTCCACGGCCAGGTGCCTGTGCCACAATCGACTGGCCTCCGAAACATACAATTAACCCTCGAAGTCCGTAACGCTGCTGGAGCTAGAGTGGAAAAGTGCATCTGTCCCTCATCCAATGCTACTCCCGTCATTGCCTGGAGAACAACCGTCACCGAGAGGCTTTCCGCCTGGAATCAGACTATCCGCCTGAGCATCCCAGCCGACCAGGTACCCGGATCCCACCTGATTATGAGCATAGCAGATGCCCCAGAGTTCCCGTTTGCACTGAGCTGGATGCCTCTCTGGGACCAACAAGCGTTTATCCGCGACGGACCTCATTCCCTTTTACTCCATGCGTATGACAAGTCCACCTCAAGCATTGAGAACGGAAAAGGAGCCTACTTATCCCTACCCTGGAGTGCTCTTGGGAAGAATGAATCGACCAAGGACGAAGCTGTGACTGGACCTATGGCAACCTTGGTCGTAGAGACCGACCTCTGCAGCACCGAATATTCACAGGACCAAGTCATGCTCGGACTTCTCAATTGGAAGGAGAAGCCTGCCTCCGAGCTTTTGGAGCTACTTCGGAGGCTCGTCTTCGTCCCAGAGATCGAGATAGTCAAGCAATTAAGCAATGTTTTCGATGCATTGTTTGGTATAATCGTCGAGCACTCCGGACATGACGAGTTCGAGGACCTGGTGTTCACTGATATCGTCACTGTACTCGGTATTCTACATGACCGTCGCTTTAACCTTGGACCACTGGTTGATCAATATGCCAAAGAACAGTTCAACTTCCCATTTGCTACTCCATGCCTGATAAGAAGTTACTGCCGTCTACTTCAGGCGACACCCGACTCTCAACAGTCCCGCAATCTCCGTGCTGCATTCAAGGTTGGAAGGCATATTCTAAAGTTCATAATCAATGCTCGAGAACAGCAAAAGGCAAAGGAAGAAGGAATCGGTATCACAAACATCCAATCAACCTTCAACCGTGACTTAACCTTCATCTTCAAATCTGTGGAAGCATTGATGCAAAATCCCGCACCGATACTCGTTGGAAGCAAGACTCTCGTTGTCCAGCATTTCCATACCTGGCTGCCTGAGCTATCTAGTGCGCTTACCAAGGAAGAAATTATCGACATTGCCTTGAGCTTTATGGATTCGTGCAAGGGCGTCAAAGGCATGCTTATTCTCTATAAACTTGTTCTAATCCAGAACTACTTCCAGCTCTCACCATTTGCCGAGCAAAAGGAGAGGAGAATGCTTTATGCGCGATGTGCCGAGTGGCTTGACCCTTACTGGGGAGCCGTGTCAGAAGTTACAGACCAATACAGAGACCAGGTCCGACTATGCTCGTCTATCGTTGCAGAGCAGCTTAAGAACCCAGAACCAGAGCTTTTCGAGTACATGCCCAAGGTCATGGCGTCATACTGTGCCATTGCAGCAGACGGTGTCGAAGAATCAAACTGGCTTTCACTCCTATTCAGCAAGTCATTCCCATTCCAGCTGAAGCAGTCAAAGACGAACCAGAAATTCGATGAAGCCCTTCTCGAGCTTTCTGCTCTCACGGCTGCATTATCCGCTATACCCGACCCGGTGGAGTTGATTATGGAACCAGATGAGATGGCTATTTTCTTAACCCGTGCATTCACCACTCACATTTCAATTCTTGACTGTGTTCCCTACCCTGCAACTTGGTTAAGTTTGCGTATTTATCATCATCGCTCTGTGGTGAAAAGCTTGGAACATTGGTCTGCAATGCTTATCAAATCGTTCCTCCCGCCCGTCGAAGAGGCTGACACGTTTGACATGGAGTTATGGAGACTTTTCTTCGCTACCATATTAAAGTTGGTATCAAGTGACGCTCTTGCTTTGGAAACCTTCCCTGAGCAAAAACGACGTGCTGTGTGGAAAATCGCTGGCGATGTCCGTGAACATGGCGCTGAGCTTTTGCGTACGACTTGGAAGGCCATTGGCTGGGAGACTACTCCTGAAGAACGTGACCGGTTTGGCTTGGATAGATTAGGAGGATATCAAGTCCAATATGTTCCTAGCCTTGTGCCTCCGATTATTGAACTTTGCCTGAGCGTCCATGAGGGACCTCGACGGGTTGCTGTTGAAATATTGCAGACTATGCTTGTTAGCGAGTGGCAATTGAATGAGGACTTAGCTATGATCGAAGCTGAGATAATATCCAGTTTGGACGAGACGTTTAAGACAAGGAACTTCTCTGAAAGCATCACCCAGAAGCTGTTCATGACTGAGTTGATGGAACTCTTTGACTCGAAATCCGAGACTCTTGACTCTGAACTTATGGTAGCATTGAAGGAACTGGTAGCTACTGTCGACGAACTACTTGACCTCCTGGCCGCAGCGCACTCCGGTAATATTTCGGAAAGTTTGAATACACTGAAGCTAATGGAGTTCATGAAAGATATGGACAAGGAGGACATCTTCATTCGCTATGTGCATGAGCTTGCTAAGGGACAAGTCGCTGCCCGGAATTTCACCGAAGCTGGTCTTGCACTTCAATTCCATGCAGACCTCTACCATTGGGATTCCTCACAGCTTCTTCCAGCCCTTACAATCCCCGAATTCCCAGAACAAAGTTCCTTTGATCGAAAGGAGGCTTTGTATTTCCAAATCATTCAGCATTTCGAAGACGGGAAGGCTTGGTCACATGCTCTTGCATGTTATAGGGAGCTTGCAGACCAATATGAGCATACCACTCTGGACTTTGCCAAACTTTCAAGGACGCAGACCTCTATGGCTAGGATTTATGACTCCATTGTCAGAGATGATATTCAGGTCGCGAGATACTTCCGTGTCACTTTCAAGGGTCTTGGGTTCCCGGCTACTATAAGGGACAAGCAATATATTTTCGAAGGACACCCAACAGACCGATTGGCTAGCTTTACAGACAGATTGCAGAAGGAATACCCTGCCGCTCAGCTTATTACGTCTGGGGAAATTGAAGATTTGGAGGGCCAGTTCCTTCGGGTATCCGCCGTTAGCATTCATCGGGACATGAACCATCCAGTTTATCAACGAACTAAGGTTCCACAGTCTGTTAGAGACCACCTCTTGACCTCGATACCTGCACAATTCTCAGTTACGTCTAAGAAACACCTGAGTGGCAACAATGTCAAGAGACAGTGGGTTGAGAAGAATATCTACACCGTCGCCGAACCATTCCCCAATATTCTTAGGCGTAGTGAGATAGTTGCAACTGACGAGGTTGCTCTGACCCCCTTGCAGACTGCTATTGAAAGGACATGGCGCAAGACCCAGGAACTTATCATTCTTGAAAGGAGAGCAACGTCGAACCCGGATGCGAATCTCACTGCAGTAGCCGAACTCATTCGACAACTTGTTGATGTTGAAGCCCAGCCGTCGACTTGTGCGGCGCTCTACCGCCAATTCCTTCAAGAAGACTATGACCCTGATGTGCCAACTGAGAACGGTGAAGTAGATGGGCCAGTACACCCAAACCACCCGCTCAGAAATGCCCTTGCAGCCGCCCTGATAGAGCATGCATTGGCGATCAAGCGTTGTCTCATGCTATTCAACCTTCGACCGTCATATCAATCCGACCAGATGGAGCTAATTCGCCAATTTGAATCTATCTTCTCACAAGAGCTTGCAACCTTTATACCCATAGCTGGACAATATCAAGATGATGGCCTTCCGACCTTTGGTCGATTTGATCCTTTCGCAAATAGCCAAGCATCCCAATTACAAGATATCCAAGGCGAAGGTCAACAGAAACCCGCGCTTTCGAGATCGTTGTCCAATGCAGTATCCGAAGCTCCCAGCCGTCGATTAAGCCTTAACCCGTTCAGACGTTCGCACCATGGGCCTTCTAACTCAGTGACAACTATAACGCGAGAGACAATACGGTCCAACGGTAGCCTGAGGAATCAATCCATCAGCGAGGGAATGAAGCTCAACGGCACCACTATGGTAAACGAACCACTCAGAGAAGGTACCTCGTCTAGCAACAAAACAGATGCAAATGATAGAAAAGGCAGTCATTCAACTCAAGGCAAGGCAGAAGGTGCTCCAAAACGCCGCAGCTGGTTCGGAAACGGCAGCACCACCAGTAGTAATAACGGAAATGCTACTGAAGCAAAGCCTAACGGTACAGCCACCCAGTCCACGGAAGATATCAAAACAACGCAACAGCGAATCATCGAAAGGGCAAAAGCAGCTCGCAAACAGAACGGAACGACTTACTCCACTATTCCCCAGACCCGGCCGTCGACCAACGGCAGCAACCGAACAGGTATATCTGCGCGTTCAGGGGGTCCGCGGTCCCCAATTAGCCCAATAACAAACAATTCAGCCGGAAGTAGCAACATGAGTGCATCGGCAGTGCGGGAGTCCGTCATGAGACGACTCAGTCTCTTGAAGTCAGGTCGAAAAGCCAGCCGTGCCAATTTCAGAGAAGGCGGCGCAATGGGCGGAGCAGTGACGGAAGAATAGTCTCACTTGATATTTCCATGAACATATACTTGTTGTTCTTGCTATACCTCATCCTTTCCCTCTCATATTGGCTGCAGTCAATCATCCATATTGGAAGCCCGCTTCTCAAACACGCCTTACACATTACCTATTCCGTCTTGACCCCTTTCCCAAGTTTCTTTCTCATTTCTGGCAGTTTGCCATTTATTCCTTCTACTCCCTTTTTTTTACCTCTTACATTCATGTAAGATATGACATTTTATTTGGATGAATGTTTTATTCCCTTCTACTACCTGTTGGATAATTCTTGAATGTCCCCCCGTTTTTTGATACCAATGTCCGAGTCTCTACTGGATATATTTTCCTTTGTTTTAATACCGCTTGCACCTGCATTTTCTCTTCCCCCAGCGTTACCTAGTGTACCTGGCCATTTATAGCCTTACCATCGACACCCCATGTTATTTTCCTTTTAATCCTTTCTTCTCTTTTCTTTTGCCTTACTATTGTGACATTTAATTGTTAATTTCATGTGTTCCCGTCGAGTTGTTGGCCTTGACGTAGATCCATTTTAGATTGTTGAATGAGCCGTGGATGATCGATTTAGCTTGAGTTGAGATGAGTGCACTGTAAATTGTAAACAATTTATAGCCAATTAGGCCTTCGATGGGACAAAGATACGGTTTATCAGAGGCAGCTAGTTTTCTTGGAACGAATTGATTTGCATTAGTTTGGAAGATATTTAATAGCAAGAATACCGCTAAGATGCGAAGATTAAATCAATTAAAAGTGCGCTAACTAAGATCATGACTCTCCATTTAGTTATCAATTTTTTTTTTCCAAGAAGGGCTATCATTTTAAGCGTCCTTTACTGGATTGCATTCTGGTCAAGGAAGAGGTCACAGTGATGTGGATTCTGGAGACAATATCTAGGCTGAAGTGGCACAGCACCGACACCGTTGGCAACGAGGTATTCTCTAAAGTTCAGGATACGGGCGGTCATATTTGTTGTTCGCTTCTTACCCTTGTCGTCATGATTGCCGGACCAGACCAGTTCAGCGAGAGCAGCGGCACGGGGCCAGAACTTGGGGGAGATGTTGACATCATCTACCTGTTCGGACCAGAGAGGCGCGATACCGCCTAGGACATGCTTCTTCTCCTCGTCAGTGAGGCCGTCAGTGAAGTCATAGTCGTAAATACGCTGCCAGGTCTTGTATGGAGCACACCAAGAACCACCGTCACCGAGATAGTTGAAGTTTGGTGTTTTTGGGTCAGGGTTCGTCATGACGTTGTATCTGGGGTCGTTGGAGACCCAGCCGCCGTTACCACAGTCAAGATAGAAGAAATCGGCAGAGGAGACGATAACGTCGTAGCCGTTAGAGGTAAGGTTCTTAATGTTTTCGATTCCCTTGTTCCAGGACTGCATGATGGTATCCTTTGGCATATTCTTTGCGTGAATGTTCTCAGAGAGGAACATGTCTTCCCAAGTGATGAAACGACGGTCTTTGCGCTTCTTAAGGGCCGGGAAGAGTCTGTCAACATATGCCTGAAGCAAGTCATTCAGGGTACTAGATGGGTGGTCGGCAAGCCATTTAGTGATATGGGAGCTGAATTTGTAGCAGTTTGGCTGCAGCTCATCACCGCCGAGATGATAGAAGTCATCCTCAAAGAGTGCACTCAGTTCGGCATAAATGTTCTCCATAACCTCGTAGGTCTTGTCGTAGGCTAGATCAAGCTGTCCTGGGTTGGGTTCGACCGCGGTATGTTTGGGCCAGTCATCGTTGGACCACCAGGACTTGCCACACGACACTAGTTCGGGATCAATCTGTCTCCAGCCCGATGAAGAGTGGCCGGGAGTGTCTATTTCAGGGATGACACGGATTCCACGTTGTCGAGCATAGTTAATGACTTCCTTAACATCCCCATGGCTATAGGTCATGCGGCGTGAATACGCATCCGTGGTCATCTGGGGATAAGCATCGACTCGAATCGGCCAAGATTGGGTGTCGGTGATGTGCCACTGGAGGACATTTAGCTTTGACAGAGCCATGGCATCGAGCTGTTCCTTGATTTTGGGCATGGAAATGAAGTTACGGCCCGTATCTATCATGATACCTCGTACAGGGTATAGGGGTGCATCTTTGATTGTGACGGGCTGTTCGACCATCAAATGGCCGTTACTCTCGTCGACAATGATCAGCTGCTGCAGAGTAGTGAATGCATGGCGAGCTCCCCAGACTGTATGGGCCTTTATTTCGATGCTGTTCGATTCCTTACTGATCACCAGGCTGTAAGCTTCGTTCACGCCATGAGACAGCTTTGCATTAGGATCCTCCACCACGACATTGACCCTTCTGATCGAGGTTCTTGGAGCAGAGTTTCCTCTCTTTGCCTTGGGTGGGTTAGGGAATGGGTCAAAGGTAGGGAAAGGGACGTTGAGCACTGTAGGCGTCCATCGAAGCTTGACAATGGTTCTGTAGCACCGGTCCCATGCTTCCTTGAGGTTCTGCTCGCGTGATCCATGGTATGAAACGAAGGGAGCGAGGTATACAGGGCCCGAATCACCCCATTCTATCGATCTCGGTGCTGGTAGGGGGTTGACATTGACGGCTTCAGCGACTGTAGACAGCACCACGGCCGCAGCAGCCACAGCTTGGGCAAAACGCATCGTTCGAGTATATCGTTCTTCACCTCTCGTCGTCGTCGTCGTCGTCGTCGTCCTCTCTGAGAGAAGTGTTAGTAGAAGGATTATCAGGGAGCAGACAAGAAGGAAGGCCGGCTTTATACCTCTGTATTGACTTATTTAGCTCCTTTGTACTTCCCAGCAAAACAAGCCCTTCCCGGCGCTTCAAAGCCAGAGTGCCACAGGAATCGGCGAGTCTAACTGGCCATGGATGTGCGGAAGCAGCGAGAGCTTCACTGCTGTTGGTGAAGGTGGAGGACGAGTCTGTGTTGTTGTTGCTGCTGCTGCAGTGCTGATCGTTGCTTTTTTCTGCGTGCAACCCTCCCTTCATCCATCGCGAAGGACCTCCACACGCCATATAACGAGCGGGCTAATAACAGGAAATTAAGGGCCGAAAAGTATAGTCAAGCAGTCCAACCTCGAATGACAAGTCGGAAATACGACGATGCAACCTGCGAGCTTCTCCCTCGCTTCTCTTCTTTTCTCCCAAAGCGCATCCCTGGACATCATCCAGCGCCATCAGATGATGGCTTCACACAGACGGCGAGACAAGCCATGCCATGCCATGCCACCTCTCCCGACCAAGGCAAGACACACACAGTGACATCTACCTATCCGGCCGGAGGATGTAACCCTGGAAAAGCAGAGAAGCGGAGCTTCCCAGGATGTCCAGCTATAGATGGCTGAGCGGTGATTTGGATGACAGCTGCGCCCACCACCAACCAGCTAACTAGTTGACCACTTCATGTCCGCACATATGAAGGTTGAAGGGCTCAAGGGATCCCCCTGAACTAGTTGCTTACTAGGTGATCCTCTTCCTGAAGACTCCACTGCCTGGCAGAGGCCATCACCATCAGGCAGCGCCTCATGCTCGTCCCTGTCTAGGGAGTGGGCGAAGTGGCTGCCGAGAGAAAAGGGAGGCTGATCTGATGGTGTTTGATGACCGATATATCAAATGAAATCTTGCATATCACCCAGCATAACCGAGTCTCTAACCACTGGTTAACTAGTTGGCTAGTGTTAGTTGTTAGTTGGCTACCCCAGGTTTAACCTTGATATCAAGCAGTTGATCATGTTACTAATCGTCCAGGCACTGATCTAGATTGGATACGAGGCGTTACATCAGGTGCGCCAGAAGTCACGATTCATTCTGAGATGCTACCTACTTTTTGCTTAGCTACTTAACAATACGAGCGAACAGAGAGCAATTTAACGTCTCTAGCTAGACACTGAGTATCAACTTCATGCGTCGACAGAGAGTCCGGATGGTTCCGCCCAGTACTTCTTTAGATACTCCTCAACAGTCATGGGCTTCACTCCCGGACAGAGGCGGTTAAGCGTTGGCTCGACGGGGATCCCACCGTCGCAGCAGACTCGCTTCAACTGGCATTCCAGCTGTTCGATGATTCCCACAACGCCTTCTGCAGGGTTGGCAAGCCTTTCCTCGACTTGTTTCTTGGTGAACGGGCGTACTTCGATCGTATGGCCAGTATACTTTTCGATCAGGCTCACCACCTCGTCGAACTGAAGGGTTGAGCCCGCCATCCCAAGCTCTCGTTTACCCCAGGGCTCCTCCAGGTCAATAGCTGCGGCGATAAACCTGCCAATGTCCCGGATGTTGGTCATGGTAATCACGGGTGGTGGTGGTAGGCTGCCATTATCGCGCTCTACCACAGGCACCTCAACCCAGCGGTCAACCAAATTAAACAAGAACGGCCGCTCTGCAAAGCCCGCCAGTGCCTCAACTCGGTTACCATCCTTCTCAGGACTGCCGATTCCAAGGTAATTCATGAACATCCCATTTGAAAAGATGGCGGCGTCGATGTTCGATTTAAGCACGGCCTCCCACACAGGCAGTTTGACCGCTCTCTCAAAGTCGATTGAGAAATGCGACTTATATGGACCAGAGAACTCGGATGGCGCAAAACGTCGACATCCAGCAGTCTCAGCGGCATGCAACAGCCTGATCTGGGTTTTGACGAAAGTGTCTGTGTCGTGTATAAGGAGCACGCTGACGACCGTGTCGATATCACGCAGGGCTGCTACTAGTGAGTCCTCAGACTCATAATTGACATACCGTGTTTCCACCTCTGCAGTGGACGATGAGCCGGGGACCGGCCAAGCTGCAGTGCTAGACGCCGAGGAGCCATTTTCTTTCTTCCTTGAGAGAATCATAGGCGTATGACGGCCGCCTGTTGCTAGAAGAGCTGAAACGACCGAATGGCCCAGGGTAGGACTGGAGCCTCCGGCAATCGCGACCTTGACCATGATGAATGAGTAGCTGCCTATGAATTCAAGACCTGCTCATGAATATCTAAGGTGGCAAGAAGAATAGGAGAACCATTTCGGCCAGGCAGCAGAGACGGTCTTCTTATGTATACAACTTTTCCAAGCCAGCGCGTTGATCGTCTGCTTGTTTGACCATCCAACGTCATACGAAAGAAGAGGACGAGTTCTTATATACGCAGTTTAGACTTAGCGTTTATCTTCTAGCCAATCAACTTCCTATTCTGTCAGAATATCACGTGTTTTCGTGACTTAAATGCGACTTTATTCGTATCTTTGCAGCGAAAGGACGAGGATGATTTGGTTGATGACGGAAGATCCTTAAAAGAGGCCGCACCCATGTACATATGTAGCTAATTTTTATGGCATTACTCCGTACTACCTTGTTTTGTAGCAGATATAAGAAAAATTTTCATGGTAATCACGTGATGAACTTAAAGTCCTGAAAAGGCATACGTCAATATCACGTCGAACGTCATGAGAGGCGCAGATATGGAGAGATACAAGACACCAAATGCATGAAAATTTTTAATTCCATTAGGGTAATAGTATACATAGGTTGTCCACACAACCACACAACCAATTGACCTCATTTTCATTTGTATCATCCCCGAGCGCCTTTTTTAACCCGTGCTTTTTTTTTCCCTTTCCTTTCCTTTCCATTTGTTATCCTCAATCCCATGAATGCAAAAACCAATTACCAAACGAGATCCGATGTTTTCCCATGAAGTGAAAATGAAACCAATGGACGATATCCTATATTCCGTCCGTGTTGTAAATCCAACGACAAATTTTCTGGTTTTTACCCAACGATGGCTTGCTTTCCGTCATTCTGATTAGTTAGCGGCATTGGCTTCTTCTTTTAGGCGCTTCCTCGTTGCCAAATACTCGGCCCAGGATCGGGCATTAAGCTCCATGTGTGCTTTAGCAGCTGCATCAGCCCTTTGACGTCTTGCTTTCACGACCTTGTCCCTTGTAAGTTTCTGTTTGGCCAATTTCTCCTTTTCAGCCTTAGCTTTCTGGCGTTTCTCGTTCTCGGCTTTCTCCAGTTGGAGTCTTTTGGCTTCCTTCGCCTTAAGGTAGTCTTCCTGCATTTTCCTGTATGCTTCCTTAAGCTTGGCCATAAAGGGTCCTGCGTCGTTCTTTGCCTTGACGAATGCAGCAGCGTGAAATTTCAGAGAAGCCGAGCTCTTTTCAAACTGCCTTTCTAGCTCATTGCATTCGGCGATACACTTCTTCAGTGTTGAGTTGGTGTTCTCTGCAGCATTAGGCCCATAATGGCCTGGGTTGGCGTCGATATCCATATGTTTGTTGTGGAGTAGCTGGCTAGTTGCAACCGACTCTATCAGAGCCGTCTTGGTTTTCCTGTATGACTCGTGCGTTGCATAATAGCGGATGCGGGCGATTGCCAATACTTGGAAGGCGTTGGTGAATGCGTCGGGCAGGGCCCTGGGGGCGTTGACAATCATCTTGTTAAGGAATTCATAATTGATGTTGTGGCCTGGCTCGCCGCTTTGCATGTCAATGCGGATGGGATTCAGGACAGCGTGGGTTCCATTTTCGTAGTCCCTCCAGATCACCTCTGATAGGGGGATAGTGGCTGGGACTTCTCCGCCAAAGGGGCGCTCGAGGGGAACGAACTCGGAAGTGAACGACCTCTGTGAGGCATAGTACCCCGTTTCCAGCCCTGGAATCTGTTTCTGTTTCGTTTTCTCTGACTTCTTAGGAATCCCAGGGGTGACCGATCCCGTGGCAGCGGCTGGCTGCATATTCGAGGGACCAGCCATCGTGTTATATCCTATTATCTTTAGCTGATAGAACTGCGCTGTATTTGCCCTTTTTTTTCTGAAGCAAATAGGCCGTTTTATCCGTTGTGAGGCAAATTTCAATAACAGTGAGTTGGGGAGGCAATACACACCTGTTTTCTCTCTCAAGGAGAGACAAGAGAGGTTGGAGATGAAGTTGATCAAGGTGAAGATGCTGAAGAGAGTGAGGAAGAGGAAGAAGAAGAGAGAAAAGAAGAAGAAGAAGAAGAAGAAGCAGAGAAGGGGACTTGACGTCTGGTTTGTGCAGCTTCGAACTGGCAGCTTGGGTTCTTGGGACTGCGCAGGAGACTTTGGAACGTTCGATGTGACGCTCTGGATGTCCTCCTTTACCAGCCCCCCGAATTTCGCAGTCACCTATCTCCCTTCCTACCCCCTTTTAACTCTGGATTTTTTCATGATGAAGCTGTGACATCCACTGAGAACAATCATCGAGACCTTTGGCTCCCTGTTACCCTCTCTGTGAAGGCCGTTGAGCGCAAAAAAGGGGGTGAAGGGTTGCGGGAGATACCTACCTTACTTTCTGTGGCAATGTCACTTAGAATTTCAGCTATTATTGTGCCAACGGAAGGACGCCGGAGTAAGCACCGGTGTGCGTACTTCTAGGGGCGCTACACCTCAGGGCGAGCAAACGGCCGAGTCGAGCGAGCTTCCCTGATGGCTTTTTTGGTAGCGTCTGCTTTGGGCGTTGTTCGCACATGGTAGAAGGCGCATCTTCAGCACGCAGAAGGAGCTACAAGATATTTGCCCGCTTAAGTGAAGCCAGCAACCTTGGACCCTCTCTTCACGTCTTAGAAGCTCTATTCACTCTCTCGTTAGCCCCTGAAACTTTTACAGCTCGTCTGGTGTATCAGGTATCTCTCCAGCGGCATCGAGAGAGGGCTGCACGTCTCTATCTATCACGGTGTGCGTTCCGATATGACGTTGTTTTCCAGATATCGAAGACAAAGTATATTTTGGCGACGTTGCATTTCTAAAAGCGGCTTGAAGAGACAGCAGAGATGAAGACCAGACAGGAGAAATATAGTCAAAAACACCATATAGGTCTTCAGATACCTTTGGTGGAGGCTGGTCTCTGCACAATGCTCACTTGGTTCTTCAAGTCTTATGGTGTGTGGAAGATTCCTAGAAGCTAAGGGCAGGACAAGCCTCCATTTTATCAAAGGATCTATCTACAACGTCAAAACAGTCGCTTTCGGCCAGGCATTCAGCCTTCTTGCAGCTATTTGCACATAGAAGACCTGGACCCCGGTATACAGGCACTCAAAAACATCCAACAAGGTACCATCCTATCATCTACTTAATCATATCATACTAACTGGTTTCTTTTTGTAGGATTTGAGAGGTTTGCAGAGGCATCACAGAAATCAATGACCACCTTAGTTACCCATGAAATATTTAGCCAGCTCACAACTATACTCATAAGATAACCCCCACCCTAGTATATCCATTGCTGAGCTACGACGTACCTAATAATTGCTTTCTACCGCCTATTTGTGTCTAAGATCAGAGAGGAAGGCCACAGTAAGTCTGCAAACAGTCAATATAGAGGAGCCCCTTACATCGAATCGCAGCATTTCGATTGGATAATGAACACCGATCAAGATTCCATGGTAGTACAAGCCGGATAGTTATGGGGATAAAAATGACTTGGGTTATAAGCTTATATTTTCAGGGATTTAGCCTGAGTAATTATGTTTACTGGCACATGTTCAGCTCTGATCGAGCTCTAACAACGAGGTAGAAAACCAGGGGAGCAGAGACCTTTTCCCCTTCTGATCAACATTTACTAGGTTTATGTCCAATGTAGCGTGTGTAGGAGGAAAGCCTATTGGTAAAAAGGGTAGGAAAATGTATTCATTCCGAGTAGAAAACCAAGGCAATAGCCCTAGTGACCTACAGACATCATTGCATCGGTAATGTTTATAACATCGTAAGGGTTAGGTAAATGCACAAACTCCCGATCAAAACCGCTTTCCACATACAACCACGCTAGCACCAGCAGTAATGTCCCGCCCGTCAAGTCAAGACATAGAACAAGGGTGTTATGGTAAAAAAATTATATCTCCTTTTTGCCTTCCTCAAACCTGTAGGGGAACCATGTTTGTCTTCAAGGGAAAAAAGAAGATGCGAAGAAAAGGGCTTTTCTCTCTTTTTGTTGGCAGAAAATTTTGTTCAAATTGTTGTTGTATGGGTTTACTTTCTGATAGCACGCTGGTAGAAAGCAAGCTCCTCTCCCTCCAGGATGTAACCATCCACTCTTCCACTCTGACCAGGTCTGGAAGAAACAACAGCATACAATCGACCGGCCTCGAATTGCTTCTCAATAGCAGAGTCAACCTTGCCCATTACAGCAAGACGAGCAGCCTGCTTCTTGGCAACGCTGTTGCTCTTCTTGTCCTCGGTGGCTTCGGCACCAGCCTTTTGCTGACGTCGTCGGCCAAGGGGCTGGCCGTAGTGTGCCTCATACCATTGTCGGAAAGGAGCAGCGTCAACTTGGACGACGGCGGATTTGGTGAGGGTGTTGGTACGGACGAGTTCGTTGTTGGAAGGATGGTAGGCGACAGCAATCACACGGACTTTGCGGGAGAGACCCTCAGAGCCCCAGGAGAAGTTGCCGGACTCGAGACGGAGGGCACGGAATTTCTGGTTGCCTCCACGAGTGCGGACGGTGTGAATGCGCTTGGGGCCAATACGGGTGTTGGCTGGCTGGCGGCCCTTCTCGAAAGCTCTGGATGTCCGCCACCGTCAGTCTCCATTCCTCAATTGCTATGTCTTTCTCTTTCCTCTCAAGCTTCTTCCCCTAGGAAATATCCATACCTCTTCTTGCGGTAGTGAGCTCTCTTAGCACCGGTGGCCGAACGCTTGTGGCGGGAGTCTCGTGAGATACCCATGATTGCGGTTGATGTATTGGACTATATTCAAGAAAAAAATTGCAGTTAGAACCCAGTATGGACCAAATCACGTAAACCCTTCAAGGAACAGATTCGTCGTTGAGCAAGCAGAAACACCACAGGCTTGATATCTCGTTCACGATATCTCGACGGCGCTGCGTTGGCAATGCCTTCCCCGTTGCGCAAAATTCGTCCACACAACAATCCCACACACACGCCAACAACGAGATGGCAACGAAGTCGCGGTCCAACAGAGGGAAAGGCAGCGAGGGCAAGCAGATTGAAAGGCTCACCTTGTGTTATCTTCGTAGTCCCTTCACCAAAAGCAAACGCCGTGGGCTGATGTCGAAAGGGCGGAGATGTTGGCGGTTTAATGAGCTTGTCGTCGTCGTCGATAAAACTGAATTTCGCACAGTCGCTTCGCTTACATTTTTTTTGCCCTACATTTAGAAGGCGCTAGTCTGGAAGTGGGATAGTACAGATTTAAAGCTTGTTAGTAATCAGACAGCCAACTCGGATTATGCGTACCTAAATAGGACTAGTCTACGAGTTATGCAACTTGCATAAAAAGTGCTTTTCTGTGTGAGAGCAATTACAACTTCCCAGAGCAATTTTACAGTAGAGTGAATACTTCAGGCAAAAATGTGTACGTATATTCATGTCCATATCTATTCATATACCGGAAATATCGTATCTTTAAACCGAAACTTCATACGCATGCAAGATTGAGCACATATGAGCGTCTGAACTGTACATTATAAAAGTCGTCTAGATTGCTTGCCACGAAACGGTGAGTGGGATAGCACGGGGAGCGGTGTAGACTGGAACCTGGGTGGAACCAGTAGGGATCTTGTCGGCATAGAAGGTGGTTTTGCCGCTTGCGGAAAGCTTTCCCTGGGAGGCCTGGGAGACAGTTAGTCAAGGGGATTCGCATGTATAGGATCACAAGAGACATACTCCAAAGACAGAAGGGGTGACATTATAGCCACACTTGAACTGATCGTTAACCATACCACAGGCGCCCTTGCTAGATGTCAAGGTGAAGCCAGAGCCGGATGCAGCAGCGCGGTAAGTAGCACAGGTTCCGGTGGTGTACCAATTTCCGGTGCTGATGAGACATCCATCCTCCTCACCCATGGCAGTTACGGTAAGATAACCCTTGCCAGAGAAGATACCAGTGGGGGCAGGGCCGCCAGGAGAGGTGGTGGTTGGTGGTTGAGTACCTCCATTGTTCTTAGGGAGATATCGAATTCCAGTCTTTGGGCAAGTTGATGGGGTGCCACCTATGGATTGCTATTAGATATACATCGGGGGGGAGCATTAATATTTAAAAGAATAAAACATTGACGTACCTGGCAGGGTAGGGATATACTCTCCGCTCTGGGCAGATCCACGGACGTTATAGAAGTACCAGGCTTCGTTAAGGGCACCATTTCTGCAGTTGAGAGTGATCTCCATGCCGAAAGCAGCCTTAATAGCGTTCTGCATGTCGCTGAGAGCGTAGGTCTTTTCATTGCTTGGAGTGATGCCAGCATCGGCGAGGATCTGGGTAAAGTATTAGCTTATACCTAGGATTAACTAGACCGAGTATAAACCAACCTTGTAGGTGTTCAATCCCTTGAACACTTCAACAATTTTGACGAAGTAGTCGCTAACTTCCTGCTGAGGCATGTAATCCATGTAGCATTGCGTATCGAAGGTGCTCATGCAGGTGCCGTGCTTGTTCCACTCGTGTTCCCAGAAGGATTCATCATCACCCTTGTAGTCCTTGTAGTACTTCATCATGTACGCGAGAGTGTCATCTTTGCCGTGAGCCTTGAGAATGTCGGTAATATTGCTATATTCACGGCTCTTGTCACAGAATTGCTCGTAGGTACCATCACAGTTATCGGGCCTACGGTATTCAACCGCATTAGAACTCCAGCCGGGCACCATCACATTCACCGAGAAAACAAAAGACTCACCAGAGACCGTGGATGGTCCATGAATCTTCAGGGCCAGTAGCTGGGTCTGCATCCCAGAACTGAGTGAGAAGAATGAGGCCGCCTGGAGTGTTGAAGCAGCAAGTGTCTTCAACAGGGCCTGAGTTGTGGCAGCTCACCTCGCCGCCAGGAGGACAGGTAGGGCCATCAGCATGCACTCCGGAGAGGAGCTGCGATACCGCAAGCACCACAGCGGCCGTAGTCGAGGACGCTAGCATGGTTGGGTGTAGTTGTGAATGGAGAGGGAGGTGAGGTAGATAAGGAGGCCGGGATATAGGATGTGGTGAGACTTCAACTCCGACCTCAGACGAGGCGGGAGCTCAGCTGCTACTTATAAGCCGATAGACTGTGATACAACAGAACGCCCTCTATCAGCAGGGCGATCCATAGAGCAGACCGAGAAGCCGAGCTGTTCGCTTCGATGCTGGATGCGCAACGCAAGCACCGACGCCACGGCCCCTACGCAGGTCTCCTCCACCCCAGTCACCAGCTTAACTCTTCACAGCCAGTGCCAGCTCCATGTGTTTGCTTCTTCGTGTTTTTGCTTCTTTTCTTCTTCGAGTTCCCGCAGTTTTAAGTAGTTTAAAATGATGATGTAATCAGGGCGCCGACGGGCTTGCCCGGTGACCTGCTGAGTAAGGAGGATCATATTCTTGGTTTACGGCGGAATCACTAGAGTATTTCTTTCGTATGTTTATCGTTACGCGACAGATATCTGGTGTTTAACGACCATTTCGTATATCGAACGTGGCCAAACGGTGCTAACGGGGCTTTCAATCGTCTATAAACATCGGATTAATATTGTCTAATGCGTTGTTCTTGTGGAGGTTGGTCCACCTTCATATTCCTGACATTAATTCTGAACGGATGACGTAAAGCGCTTATCCAACCAACCAACGGCTAATTCGACAAGCTGAGTAAGACTGTCCAGCCTGGAGATAGCCGTGTCACGTGAACGAGAGTTGCCGACGGCTCTTGGCTTGCATCGGCCAATGAGATGCGTTAGGAACCAATTGGAGAGCAGAGAGCCTTGCTCGCCAGGGATACACCCCATGCTTTCAGTCTATTATCCAGTTGTATTCTGTATGTTCTACTGGACCTGCTTGCTATGTAACAATATCAATGTAAATCCTTACACTTAGAAGTACAGGCGGGAAACCCCCTGTAAATTGGTAGGGGTCAATGCTCCATAGAAAACGCCGTATCAGAGGAGGAAAAAATAGCAACAGCGACCTATAGCCCCGCAACGATCATCAGTCCGTACCCAAGGGTTACAACAAGGCCGAATGAGAGGATACTCGCTGGTACGCCTCGCGTGATGAAATGACGGACGCGAAGGTATCGCTGACCGGTCTCTGGAACTTCCATCATGATCGCAGCTGTGGAAAATGAAATGTCAGATAAAAACTTCTCGGGCGCGGACACGCAAAGGAAAACACTTACTCATGTTGGGGAAGCCACTAGTAGGAAGACCCATGGCCACAGAGCACATCAGCGCACTTCCCATCACTAGGAGGTTAGGATGTGGCTCGTTCATTCCCATACCCACTTCTCTGACAAGGGGTAGGAGAATCAATGCCGCCACAGTATGGGAGATGAAAGTTGCCACCACCAGAATCAACGCCGCAAAAACGAACATGACGCCGTAGAGGCTCAACCCGGCCACGCTGCTTGTTATAGAGCGGGCGATGGCATTTAGCAGACCAGAAGAAGTGACTGCCTTACCGAGGCAAAGCCCACCTGAAGCCAGAATGATGATGGTCCAGAGAAAATTGTTGAAGTCTTCTTTGGTCAGAATTCCCGTACCAAAGAATAGAACTAGCGGGAGGATGGCGATAACACCCATGTCTCCAAAGGTGCTTTCAAGCTGATGGCTGACACACCATAAGCAGATGGTGCCGATGGTGACTACAGTGATAAACCACTGTATACCGGTGAACTTGTCCTTCACGGGACGGATGGGGACAATGGTTGTTCCTCGGCTTGGGTTGAAAGTGATAAGAAGAAGGACCCAGATGCCCAGGATAGAGAGGATGCAAACTGGTAGGGCAATGAAGAACCATGTTCCCCAGCTGATAGCAGGATCCATGTTCTGCAATGCAATGATGTTCTGTGGTGAAGCAATGGGAGACGCAGCACCTCCTATGTTGGAAGCCAGTGCAATGCCAAGGATAACAGCTTTTGAGAACCGAGAATCAGTTGGTAGGTTTCGAAGCATTGGCTAGATTGGATACCAGTTAGTGATGGTTACTTTCACAGGCACGAGTATAGTGACTTACTTGAATGATAGAAAAGCAGAGCACCGGAGCAGCAACGTTGCTAATCCACATACTCAAAAACATGCCAACAAACATGTTCGTCAGCAGCACAGTTCTCGGCTTGGTACCTGCCTTGCTCAATACAAACGTAGCCATTCTCCGTGCAATATCATGTTTCGATAGAGCAGCGGCAATAGTAAAACCTCCAAGAAGAAGCATGATGACTGGGGTCCACATTGCTGCAAAGACCGCACTTGTAGCTTCCTTTGCGCCAAGTCTAGAGTGATCTTCCTCTGAACGCATGATTCCCAGGGTGACAGTGAGGAATGGGACAAGAATCGATGTCACGAAGAGCGGTATCACCTCCGTAGCCCATAGCAAACTGACAAACACTAGCATTGCCAGGCAATTTTGCTGTTCAGGCTTCTTCATGATTGGCACCACGAGCATGACCCCGAATATAATGAGGATAACTACCAGGGTCGCAAAAGTAGGTGATAAGAGCCATGATGGAACTGGACATCGTCCAATGGGGGTGATGAACTCCTTAATACCTGCCTCCTGCTCGTCACCCTGTCGTTGGGCCGTTTCCATGTCCGCCTCTCCTCCGAGCAGAGTTCTGCGTATTCCCATGTTTGCGGCCTGAGTCTTTCTTTCTATACCGATCATCTCTCTCCATATGGTATTTCGTTCCCAGACGACGTGCTCACGTAGATGGAGACGAAGTTCTCGTCTGGAGAGTGACAGATCACCATCTGTAACAAATCCAGCGTACAGCCGCTCAACGTTTGCAATGGTGTTATCCAGCTTGGCGATTGTCGCGTCCGTAAACGGCGTGGCCACCAGGACAGTGGAATCCATGTACTGCCTTCTCAAATTCCTGTCAAGTGTCTTGTCATACTTCTTCAACGCCTTTGAGAATCCAGTACGGTTAAGCTGGATAAACGACTTGAGCTCGCATAATGACACATATATGCCAATTGTTCGTTTCTTCAACGATACGCCAACATCGTATATGGCAATGTGCTCTGGATCCTGGGCAGGCCCCAATAGCCTCGAATCCATCAGCTCGCTGTTCATCAGATCCTCCTGAGGCCGTGAATCTCTTATCCATTCTCTTGACGAGGCAGAAAGCCTCCTTATCCTCCGTTGTGGAAACTCAGCAAAGTCCCATGTTATCTTCCGAATCATCACTGTCAACGTCTCCCCTCGGGCCCAGAACGTTCACTGAGGGTACTTGACCGGTGTTGGGTAAGGGTAGCATGGCGCGAGGCCCCGCTACGCCGGCGATGTCTGCCACTGACGCTCAAAGCTGGCGACTTGATGAGTGAATGAGCAACGGGCTCCATGTCAATCCCTATGCTATCCTGAGCAAAGGATTCTAGCTCTCTTGTAATATCTTCCACCTCCTTGTACAAGTCCATTTCCTTGGAGCGGTAGAAAGAGCAGACCTTCTCCAGCTCTCCGTCCAGAGCACGGCGGAAGATGGCGTCCGTGTCAAGACTCCTGTCAAGGAGGGGAGCAGATTCAACTTGTCCATTCTCGCGCTCGGGATGGTTCACTTGTTTTTCAAGAGTGTATATCCTACAAGACCAGTTCAGTTAGCTGGGAGAAACAAAAGAAAAGAAGAAAATGTTGCCTTTTCTTGGTAAATAGGGCCCGCCTTACAGTTTCTTCAAATTGCTGTATGCAATATAGCTGTCACTCCAATCCGGGACGGAATTGAACTGGATACTGTGTGAGAACTTCATGCTTTCTTCTTTTGTTGCAAGCCGGGCCTGTGATCCAGGACCAAGCTTGTACCGTTGTTGCCGTAGTCCGCCTTCTCCAAAGTAGTTGCTCTTGTACTCTTTCTCCTCCCCGATACTCTCCCTCCGTCTTGTCCTGGAGCCGGCACTTCTCTCCCTTTGGGAATCTTTGTATTCTTGATTTTGATTCTCTCGACCACCCTCTCGCTTACCCGCTGCCTGGTGAGTATTATTTCGGTGACCCCTCCTTTCCCCCCACCCAAAGAGCCATGCAAGCCCGGTGGGACTTTTCTTCCTAGCGGGATGTGTTCGATCTAACCCTGACCTTATCTCAGATCTGAGTCGAGCAGCCGGGGTGGAAGGTGTCGGTAACGCTGAGGCGGACGGACGAGCGAATTCGTCGAGTTCAAAACTCTGGCTGGTGTCTTGTCGAGCCAGGGTGGGCAGATCTGAGTATTTATTTCTGGTCAGCTGTGCGCTGTTCGCCGTTCCGGGATGTTTTCTTGACGTGTGTGCGTGTGTGTATATATAAATAGCCCTGGACCCGGTGGTTAGGCGGCGTTCGGGGCAGGTCTAAGGATGATGGATTTCAGGCGAATCGAATCCAAGCAGACGGAGTCAGCCTGACCAGTGAGTGGCTCGACGGGAGAGCTTGCTGTACACCCGGCGTCATTCAACGAATGTCTTTCCTTTGCGTGGGTACCTGGGACGCAGTGGGAGCGGGAAAGTTGACGCTGCGCGGTGTCAATGGTTGGTCGGACAAGCACGGCAAGCTTTTGAGATCGGTCAAGACGGGGGTTCTCCCTGTGCGAATTGATGACTCTGAGAGGAAGCAGAAGAAAAAAAGAACGGGATAACGGACCTCACGGGTTCATCTCGCCAAGTCGTAGGAGTGGGAAGTGGTTGATAATTAGTCTACCGCTGCAGTCGCGCGAGGCGTCAGGGAGTCGAGTCGCGGCCGGGGGAGGTCGAAAAGCTGCAGGCGAGGTCGATCTCAGTTACAGCCGCCCTTGCTGCTAAATTCAGGAGCCAGTTACAGGACACGGAGAAGCAGCCTCGCCATGCTGTACTCTGCAGCTGGCTACAGGTCATATTATTATCGCGGTCTCAATATCGAGATATACAGAGTAACTACAGAGTACAGGCTGGCGGTGAAAAGATACTCAACTCTAACATTAACACTTACGCTGTGACTGCGACTCTATAAACTCTCTACCAGCGAGATCTAAGACTTGATATTTGAGATCACGTAAATGAACCAGAGAAAAAAGCAAAGACGAGACGAAAGCTTACGAAACCCAGCCTCGTGGTAAGCCCTGTGCATACAATTGGATCTCCTGTCGCAGAAGAGGAACTGCTGGCTAGGACGGGTTCTTCTGCTCTTGCGTATGCAGAGGGCCTCCAGGAAGGTCACGAGAGGTAGATACATGGATAGCCGATGGACAAGATATACGGGGATGTAGCAACTTGCCAACCTACGGCCAAGCGACACAGAGCACGGAGTAGTAAGAGATGGCGATGGACGGGTCAGCTGGCTGCTCATGAGATGTGATACTGCATTTGTGCTGCTCACAACAGCAAGGGTCCGCAATATGTATAAGATGCTACAGAGGCAAAAGGGGGAAAGGGAATAATGCAAGACGTAAAGTAATTATTCATTATTCATCAAAATTGGTTCTTGTATAAGTCTGATGATCAATGTATAATATATGTACGTAAGGTCATGTCTAGTTCGTGCCCTGCGCCTCTTCTTAGGCGAGGTGGTGGCCGCGCTTACGTTTCCATTCTGCGGGGGAAGAAAAAGAGTATAGGTTAGCAATCATGATCAGACTGGCATAGCGGTGAGGAAGGAGATAAACTTACCCTTCATCCATTCCTTGACGAAGCGGGCTTCCTCAGCCTGGACTTCCTTGATCCTCTGTGGTGGAAGCTCGGCAGTGGTCTCGTTGGGGTACAGTCCGTTCTCATCCCCTAAAGGTAGCGTACATTAGCGAACATTCTGGAAAAGAGACAAGACCTTACAACGCTCGAAAGGTTGACTTGACTTACAGTGGTGGACAGCTTCAGGGATCAGGATAAATGGCTTGTTGGTAGAGGTTGGTCGCTTTCTGGCAGCAGCGGCGTGGACACCAGCCTCCTTCCATGGGTCGGAAGCTCCGTCGATAAAAGCGAGACGGTCATACTCGATGTCGAGAGCACCATACTTGTTGACAAGCTCAACGTTGGATGGCTTGGTGATGCCAAATGCCTGCTTGCAGATGTTGGAAGTGTATGGCAAGTCGATCAGTCGGGAAATGACAGGTCGGATGTTCTTGGGAGCACCGCTGCCGGTCTGGAGGTATCCCCACCTGTGACGGTCACGGTTAACATACGGATTCGTAACATGCACTAAAGCTACGGATACTTACTCGTTGCAGTATTGCCAGGGCCATGCTCTCCAGCTCTGGTCGGCGTTGTCCTGCTTGTAGAAGTCCTCATCGTAGGAGTTCAGGCACTCCTCGGCAGTTTGGCCTTGGCCGGCGCAGGAGGCCAAAGTGCTCTTGTTGAGCCAACCGACGAAGTTGAGTAGCTGAGGTAGGATCTCAGGAGACTCACGGCCGTGTCCACCGGCTTCGATGATACGCTTAGCGGAAGCCTTCTGCTCAGCAGTAACTGGGTAGAGGTAGCGGTCGCTGGTAATTTCACCGCAGTATTGATAGAAGCTCTTGCCACTGATAGCAGGGTCCCAGTTAGTGGACTGCCATCCAGTGATACCAGAGGAAAGGGCGTTGGCGAAGTCAGCGTCACGGAGACGGCCAAGACCAAACAAGTTCTTCAGCTCCTTGATAGTGTTGGCGTTCTTTCCGTGAATGATGATGTTATCAACGATATCAACGAAGTTTTGGGTGACATGGACACAGTCCTGAGGAGCCTCCTGGCGGATAGGCTCAAAGTACTGCCAGTAGTCATAGATGGCCTTGGTGACGCCAGAGGAAGAGATGGCGCCCCAGAAGATATCAGGATACTGAGTGCGGAGGAAGGCCTATTGTAGATTGGTTAGTATGAAAAGAAAAGTCGATTCCACGCGGGCGATAGCGACGCCAACTTACAACTTGTCCACCAGCATACGATCCACCGTACAGGATATGTGCAGTACCAGGGGCAGTCAGGTTGTATTTCTCAAGACCAGGGAACTTGATGTTCTTGGAGAAATAAGCAGTATCAGCAAGCGCTTGCTCAGTTGTCAGGAAGCGCAAGCTCTTGTTCGAGAAATCGCGAGTTGGAAGGGAGCCACCGTAGTATCGGTGCTCCATGATAACACCGATGCCATTTGTTGCCTGTGCAAGCTGGGCTAGAATACCCTTCTGGAGGAATGGAATACGGCCTACAGTCTTCTCGTAAGCACTGCTTGTGGAATCCAGATATCACAATATCCTAATAACAGGTACTCTCACATACCTGCACCATCGGTCTCTCCACCATGAAGAATGATCACAGGGCCACCCTCCTTGTAATGGCTCGCATCGAACCAGTATCGAAGGTCGAATTTATCCGTGGTGTGAGGTTCATATCGGCTGCTCTTTGGGAAATGGTCGATGGGGATCTTGATAGTATGCGCAGGGAATGCAGCGTTCACATCCTCACTACGGGCAAGAAGGGCCTTCGTACGATGGGACTGACGGCAGAGTGAGCGAAATTGACCATGTTTTGAATAGGACTACCTCTAGTGTCAACTTACCTCGGCTTTGAGCTGACTGATAGGAGTGACAGGGAGTTTAGCTTGTACTGCTGCTACAAGCAGTAGCAGGCAGGTCGTGAACTTGACCATGGCGTGAGAAGAGCGAATGAGTTTATCCCACGATGCAATCTGCACACTGGAGAACAATCGAAGGAGAAGTCCGTGGGCTGCCAGGCCCTTCTAATAGTAGGAGAAATCCGTCATCGACAACCCGGCATCTGGTCGTATAATTTAACGAATGCCACCACCCAGGCTACCAGCGGAGTTGACGTCTGTACCCTTGCGATGGCATACGAAGGCCCCGCTCCAATATATGGGGTTGCAAGATTCTTTCCGGGCACCCCTGTGCACTCTCGCTGCGCAACAGTATCCCCGGATTGGAGGAATGAGGGGAACATACGGTCAGGAGAAATCAACACTTCCCGGCCAGACTTCCACAACCCAATTCGCTGTGCTCTGGAAGGGGCAAAAAAATCTTGCCCTGGTACATATATTTGGGCTGCATGATGTGACTCGGAAGGTAGCCTGCAGATCACAAGCCTTGTGCTCTCCCGTAGGCGGTTCAGTGAGCAAACGAGAGTACAATGTCTTTCTAACGCGACGCCAGTCGCGCCAGTGTAACGTGAAATTGTGCCAGCGAAGGAATTGGTGTTCGGCATCAGAAATGGCTCCACCAAGCCGGCTGAACCAACTGATAGCACTCTCTGGTCGCCTATCGGAATTACCATGGAGCTTTAGCTTGCACATTCTGCATGCACGCGAGACCTTCCTCCATGCATGACTGTCATGCTAGGGAAACCGCAGGTAAAATTGCAAATACGAGCCATCACTCAGCAGGACTCAACTGCTAGTTAGCTAAATAACTAGCTGAAACACAAGTACAAACGACAGCCGTCTGTCTAATTTGGCCAGGAGAGACAGCTTCTTCATCATGGAGCCAACGGAAGCTATCTTGCGCCTGACAAACGCCGTCCGTATTGTATGCAGGTTGCCTCTGTGTTGCCCTCAATATGGAAGGTCGAAAGATGCCGAGGATATGGTCTTGGAAGCGGTGCCAGTTATTGCATGAGGGCCGGGGTCCGGGAAGAAGTGTTATGCTGGAGAAACAAGTTTCGCCGAGAGCCATCGCTCAATTTCACGGAGGTAATTACCTAACTCGTTATGCAAGACGCCGCAAGGCCTTCCAAGGTTGCTAAAAAAGAAGCTCAACGCCGCTTGGAATGTAATGTTGCTCTCCCGTAGCTTAAACGAGTTACCATCTGGAAAGGCCCCAGCATAGATACGGCAATGCCTGTTAGCTCTGGTGGTGGCCGGTTAGGCGAAATACCAGCTTGGCTCATATCTGTTAGAAAGTAAAATAAATAAATCGTTTTGAATGTTGCGTAAGAAGATAGGTCGAAGTTGGAGAAGTTGAGGTTGAGGTTTAGGTTGAAGCTGAAGTCACGATAAAGTCGATGGAACCATTTCTACTTTGGGACAACAATCACATCACCTGACTAGTCGGCCATTTAACCGGTTTTTGTATACATTCATCAGACTTGATATGTAAATGATGATTCCAAACACGAGAAATAATAAAACAAAAAGGGAAGCCAGCTAGTTATACAAGGAACAGGGGAAGCAAAAGGTTCAGCAGCGGCTGGAACATGGTACAAACAATTGACATCAATTAGACCCCGCGGGCGGACAGGAAGAGAGGAATACAAATGTACTTTTTCCGGACAAAAGTCCCCTTCCCCCTCTCTGCTCGTGTTCATGTCATTCCACTCGGGGCGGGCGAAGGAAGCACATAGTTACAATAATGGCTTATTGCATCCTACCTTTCCGTGGCTGCGAGGCACGACGGATATTGGCACGGGAAACAGTAGCCTGTTTGTGGATAGCAGCCCGCTTAAGCCAGGCACCGCTCTTCCCCTCAGCAATAGCGATGATTTCATTCGCTATCCGCTGTGAAAGCTGATTGTCACGTCTCTTCTCGGCAGCGTCAAGGATCCAGGTAATTGCTTCTCGGCGACGTTGGCGTTGAGCAAGTGGGCTTGGGATGGGCAACGCAGCACCACCACCAGCAATACCTCTTATCTGACGGATTCTGAAGAGGGGAGCAACGGAGTCAACGGCGAGAGTAAGGTATAGAATTGGGTTTAGAGGGAGTTGTGGGGATGGAGGGCCGGGGAGGAAAGGCTTTGTCGGATCGACAAGTGGTGCTGGAGCGGTACGTAGATGTTCTAGAATTTTGGCCATGTGCTAGTTTAACGAAGTTAGATATCTGTCTGGAAAAGAGAGAGCGAGTGGGGAGAGAGGGGGATAACATCTTACCTTCTGAGCAAGAGATAGCTTGCCGTGCTTCATTATTAGCTTGGTGAATTGTTCCACCAATGGCTCGTACCGGCGATCAAATCGCTCGTTTGGAGGAAGAGGCAGGGTCGGCGGCTCGTACTTGAAGCCTTCTGGGATGCCTCCTTCTACATCCACGGATTCTCCCCGACCTGAAGCCGCAAGCATGTTTGCAACGGTGGCGGCAGAAGGGTCCGCTGCCGAATTACCCTTCAACTCGCCCTGATGTAGTCTTGCAGAGGTAGAAAATGATCGCTTGGAGCCGTTTCCGTTCTGGCTTGCTGCAACTTCATCACGCAGGACCTTAGGCATATTCTTAAGAGCATCTTTGTCCCGTTTAAGAATCTAACCAAAATCACAACAGTCAGCCAACAACTCGCACAACAGCAACTACCTTACCCTAGGACACAGTATAAAAAAAGGAACACGCAAAAAAGAGGGTATGATATACATCTGCTATCGGCGTGCCTTGCTCTAACTCCGGTCCACCAACTTCACCACACTTCTTGCCCATAATCTCAGCAGTCGCCGCTGCTTCTTCACTTACGTGCGGTAATTGATCCTGGTTTGGCCCCAACGGCTGCTCTCTGGCTTCACTACCATTCTGGTTCCCACTGCTACCAGACGAGGTAGAGTTCATGCGGTAGGAAGATACTCCCTTCAACGACCTGTAAGGTGATGCGGTGTTGCATTTTGACGAACGTAAACTTATATTTCCGAACTGCCGAGTGGTCTGGTGCAGGGTGTCGTGAACTGGGGCGGCACGGACGAGGGAGAGGGCCGATCGAGTCGGAAGGATTGGGATTCTGGGAGGCATATTGGATAAGGTATCTGTTCGTTCGTTGAAAAAATCCTGGGCTCTGCTCTGGTATCGTTTTGGTAGAGGCGGGTTTCGGCCCTGCAGGTGGCTCCGGGACGGTGACGACCGATCAGCCGGGTATATATTAAATTTTCCCCGTATGGCAATTGCACCGCAACCGCTCGGTTTCAATAAGTGCGGCTGCTTTTGATTCAACTTGGAGTTGTTCGCCTTCAATTTGAGGCTATCGAAAAAAAAGCTCCAAGGGCTACGAAATCTCGATATGACTGTCACGTGATAGTCTATTTTGCGTGGTAAAGGAGAATAGAGGAGAATTGACAGGCTACAGATCGAGAAATAGCCCCTTTTAAAATAGTTGTAAGAACTCTCACACTTAGGATTCTTTCTCTTACTCGAGTTGAAGAATAAAACAGGATTATTCCAAGTATAATGTGCATATTTGCCTGCGAATTCCACGATCACGTGAAGTATTGTTTCACGTGATTAATCGATTACCTAATCTTTGCATTTAAGCTGACATGGGGATGGATCCCACATCTAGATTTACCTGAGTTGACAGCAAAGACAGAGGCCATTCGGATCAGTGGTAAAATGTAATTGGGTCTCTAGCACGGAAGAATTAAAAATATACTTCTTTCCCAGACACTGGAGAGACGGCCGATGGGGGGTAAGTTGCAGGCGCCACACGGGGTAAGAGGAGCCGAAAACGCGCGTCCTCTGAGCACAGTAAGGGATGATGAGATATATAAAGAGAGAGCTATACAGCCCAGCCCGCATGCATCTCGAGAATGCGAAGAATGCGCGCGGGTGGAAGTGAAGACAAGACAAATCAATTACTACTTTCAAAGCATAATACAAGTGTTGGTTTGGGTTATGGATGGGCAAGGAAAGGCACTAGAGTGAAGGTAAGGGGTTCTGCGACTGGGCAGGGTATACAAATGAGAGAGAGGTTAGAGGGCGAAACGGCTGGCGAGCTGAGAAGCAACTGTGCCGATATCACCTGCGTCATCTGGATAGACGTAGAATCCAAGGGCGATGATAACGTACCTGATAGTTAAAGAGGGTTAGTATATATGCATGATCCATTGAGAGGCACAGCGCAAAAGGAAAGGGAAACAAAAAGAGAGGTGAGATGAGAACTTACATTCCAAGACAGAGGCCACCCTCAAGGTAGTTGGACTTGCCGTCCTGGATGAGGATGGTAACGACGAGACCGGAGACGAAGAAAGCAACGGTCTCGAAGGTCTGGAAGTGGAGGGTCATGTCCTTGTCCATGATCCAGCCGAGGATGACTAGGAAAGGAGTGACGAAGAGGGCGATCTGCAGACTGCTTCCGATGGCGACGCCAATGGCCAGGTCCATCTTGTTCTTGCATGCGACTACGACAGCCGTAACGTGCTCGGCAGCGTTACCGACGATGGGGATAAGGATAAGACCGATAAAAGTCCTGCTCATACCGGTAGACTGGACGATAGGCTCGATACTTCCGACGAGGTACTCTGCGCATCCTGCGACGAGGACGGTGACGACGAGGAGCAAGATGGAGGCAGCGTACGGGTTGAGGGTGCGCTCTTCTTCTTCCTCTTCTGCTCTGACGTCACCGTCTTCGACGTTAGAGCTCTCGAACAAGTCGGAGTGAGACCGCAGCTGGAAGAAGAGGTACATGATGTACACGATGAGGAGGATGATGGAGGTGCCGTGGGAGAGGAAGAGGATGTTCTCCCTGGAGTCGGCCTTGGAGGAAGCGAGAGAGGCGTAGAGAGTGGAAGGGATGATCAGGGAGGCTGATGCGACGGTCATCATGGAGGACATGGTGGATGCCGCAGTGCTGTTGAATTTCTGCTCGTGGTGTTTGAGCCCACCGAAGAAGAAGCAGCATCCTAGGACGAGGAGGATGTTGGAGAGTACGCTGCCCAGCATGCTGGACTGGACGATGCGGATCTCATTCTTCGACAATGCGACAATGCTGACCTGCACGCTATTAGCACAGTTCAATCACACACACCCATATACATGTATGCATATATATGTATATGGTATGTTGATAGAAGGATAAGAGGAAGATAGAAAGAGAGACGTACGATGAGCTCGACGGCGTTTCCAAAGGTGGCATTGAGCAGTCCACCGAGCGTCTCACCCAGGGTCGACGCCAGCTCCTCTGTCGCAAAGCTGAGCAGAGAGGCCAGGGGCATGATCGCAATGAAATTGAGCACGAACGTCGCTGTCGGCGACCATCCCAGGAAGCCCGAGAGCAGGCCGAGCGGCACAAAGACCAGCAGGATATTGATATAGTTGCTGGCGAGGGTCGCATAGGTCAAGTGGCAGGTCTCGTAGGGGATCCTGACCCAGAGCCGCTCGTCGCGACGGGACCAGCGCTGGCTGCCGCCATGACGGCTGCTGTTCCCGTTGAGCAGGCCAGTCCGCTCGTTCGAGTGGCCGTTGGTGAAGCCACCTTCGGCGTCGTTCGGCATTGCGCCTGAGGAGCTGCGGCAGATCGAGAAGGACGACCCGATGCGATGGAACTGCGCTTTTATAGTGGTTGGAGCTAGCTTTGGGTTAGCTTGAGTGGGCTCTCATATGCACAGGCGACAGCGATGGTAGAAAGAGCATTAAGAGGAAGAGAGTAAAAGGAAGTGTAAGAGTAGAGAAAGAGGAAGAGGCGGGAGATGGAGAGGAAAAGGACGGAGAAAAGGGCGAAACGTACCCATCCCGTCCCAGGCAAAGCAAAGACGTCAGACGGAGAGCAAAGCGAAGCAAAGTAAGCCAAGAGGCGACGCAAAGGCAGACAAGCAACGAAGCCAAAAAGTGGAATTTGCTTGACCTCGAACCAAGGGTCGACCAAAGGGGGTGTCAGCGGGTCGCGTCGCCGGTGTCAACCCTGAGAGAGCGAAGGACCAACACTGATAATCAGCAACTGACGAGCTAAGCTCTGCCGGTGGTGGTGTGCTACTCCGTCCTGGCGGGCTATTTCCCCAGTAGTTCTTGCTGGGCAGGCCACGACTGTGATCTCGATCGTGGCAGTGCAACTTGGCAGGAGGAGGAGTGAAGGAGCAGCTTCAATTGACTAACTACGTAGACAGGAGGAAGAGAGGGAAGAAGAGAGAGAGAGAGGGAAAAGCCTGTTTGAGAGCGGACTGAGAAGCCTCTTTATGTAGTTACAAGGAAGCAGACAAGGAGACAGCCAGACGACACACTCTTGGGACACAGATCGAACTGCAGCGAGTTAATATTGACCAAGCTGTGGCGTTGTTGGTGACCCGCAGCGGCAGAGACAGAGACGAAAAGATGGGCCAAAGATGGAGACAAGAGCCCAAAGATGGGACAGACAGGGAGGCAGAGGCAGCCAACGCCCTCGGAGAAGCCAGAGAGAGGCCTGAGAGATGGAGAGGACGAGAGGGAGACTCGTCTCATGCTTGTTAGACGGGATGGTCCCTGGGCAGGCAGCTTTGCTAGCTCTGGTGGACATGGTGGACAGTGGACATGGGGGGCCATGGGGGACATGGCCATGCTCGCCACAGGTTTTATACATAGTTGGTTAGATTTTAGTTACATAAAGTCGGAGTTGGCGGGCTTGCTTTTTCTTCGTTGTCTGTCTGATACGAGCCTCGATGATCCTGTCTGGCTACTGGCTGGCTGAGAAGCGACCGAGAGAGGCAGAGGCAGAGAGAGGAGCCGTGGCTGGTAAGGAGCAAACACGGAGCATGGCAAGTAACGTAACTAAAGCAGGAGACGAACTGATGCATGCATGCGTGTTAGTGGCGACACGTTGGCTGCTTCAGCCACAGGATGTGCATGGACAGGCCTTCGCTAGTTGGTAGCATGGTTAGTCAGGTTGGCTAGCTTGGGTCTTTACATGCATGGTGACGCCGACGGAGGAGACGGGAAGTTGGTTTAGCGTTAAGCTATTGGATGTACACAGGTACATAGATGGGATGGTGATATCATACTTAATTGACCCCCAGATCTAGTTAAGCAGTTAAGGAAAACAGACGTACAACTAACTATATTACAACGACATCACCCCAACAGCAGTCTGTCGCGGTTAGAGACATTCTCCTTATACCCATAGTCAAGGCCGGCAAAAGTCTGGATCATCTTGTCCAGAGCCTCGCCTGCCTCCTCCTCGCTCTCCTCGTCCTCGTCCATCTCTGCCTCCGGGTCGAGGTCGCCCAGCAGGTCCACGGCCTCCTGCACACCACCCGTCGGCCTGGAGTGCGCCAGGATCTTCTTCCTAAACGTCCGCGAGACGTGGCCCTGATCAAACTCCTCGACGAAGCCAGCCACCACCGTGTCCCTCACATAGCTGCCCTTGTGGACTTTGGCTTCCTCCCCCTCCTCCATCCAGGCATCCAGCATGCCCTGTTCGTTCAGAGGCACGCCGTTGGCCCTGTCCCGCCGTGCCTGAAGCAGCATGGCACAGAGGTAGTGGAAGAAGAGAAAGGCGCCGTTGGGCAGCACCAGGGCGAAAAACGATACGTTCGTCTCGTGGAGCTCCCCATACGTCGTCTCTGAGTCGAAGGGCTCATTCCACAGACCCTCCCAGTCAACTATCACCAGTTTCCAGCTCCATGGATGTTGGCGCTCGTCCCAGCTATAGCCGGTCGGGATCAAGGTGACTCGGTACTGGCTAAACATCTCCGCCAGTTTTGGTGGCAGCAGCAGGCCGTTGCTAGTAGAGTATAGCTTGTCCTCTGCCTCTGGGCCAAAGATGTAGGTCATGCACTGCTGGCCCAGCGAGTGAGGGAAGATCGCGACGGCCCTGAGTTCGGTTGATTGGACCTTTTTGCATCTTACCGGGCACCAGCATCGGCCCGACACTCGTCCCACGACCCCTGCGCGGCCGTACGTCTCCATCACGTCCCTCACAAACGACCGGCGCGGACACTTTGCTTCATTCGTGGTGCTGAACAGCAACTCGATAAACATGGCCCGCTCGATAGGATTGGTATCCGCGCTTAGCAGAAGGCGGGCTCCCGCTTTCCTCCTATTAAAGATCCGTCGTCTCTCAGCGATGCCCTGCAGCCGGGCCTCTCGACGCTCCTTATGGTAGAAGTAAGCGGTTTTGCTCTTCTTATAGGCCCTTCTGTTATTGTTAGTGTAGCTGAAGTAGAATATCAGGAATCCCCCCTTCAGATGCCACGCCAGGTCAGCCACGACTGCTTCTCGCTCAACCTCAAATCTCAGTAGCTGCCAGTACCTGTCGGAGCCATATTCTGCCTGTCTGCGTTCTATACGAGCTATTTCCAGATACAGTCTCGCTCTCAAGATGAACTCTCGCTCCTCCAGGCGTATCTGGTCCCAGGCTGTAATCATATTGTTCTTTTCTACTCGGAATATTCAACTATATACGTATAGGTATAGGTATAAGTATAGGTGGTATCGTTATCGGTATCTGTATAGGTTTGAGTATAGGTATAGGTATCGATATAGATAATATCCATACGTAAGTCTTTTCCGTAATGGGTAAGGAAGAAGCTGCATAAAAGAGGAGTAACAAGTGGGAAGGGGATTTTCTTGTTGGTCAAGGAACATTTATATTCACAGATCCACAAGTATGACTGATCTTATTGGCTCAATCTTAGGTAGGTGGAGCTCGTCATCCTGGTCATAACCGTCATCATTGTAGATATTGACCAATGATATTATTTCACTTTAAGCTTAACTTTATTCACTAGCCAATAGAGTTAAGGTATTCCAACGTCAACGACTTTGAAGACGTTATTGAAGATCTTGTAGATTCTATTTCCTTTCAACTACAACGTCATTAGGAGAGCGAGGAATCATCCACGGTAGCTGTTGGGATATTCCACTTTAGCTAGACTCGTTACCTAAGGATACCTGGGGCAATAGCCACATCCAGCCGTTTATTCCGTTCTTGAAGTCTGTACGGTGTATTCTATAGAGCTCATTGCGACGCACGATATTGATGCTGCTCAAGCAAAAGTTCGCCTATACAACCCCATGAAGACGATAAAACGGAAGCGATTTTGACGTCCTTCCTGGATTATCTACCGAAAGGAAGTAAACATTCTCTTGCAGAATTTATCGCATCTTCATCAGAAGAGACCTTATACAAGCTTTCAAGCACCTATTTACAACACTTCTATTACCAAGTGAGACAAATCCCTCCCCTTGTGAATATCATAAGAGTCCCAAATACTAACAATTACTAACTATGTAGTCAAAGCGTGGTCTAGGACTCCGCGATTTTTTCTTTCACAGTTGATGACGCGGACGATGATATCCAGAGGTCACGTCATTCATGGACAAAACGCCGACTAGGAACCGACAGACATTACTGAAGAAACTCTGCCTCAGAAGAGATGGCTTTTGGTACCAGTTGCTCTGCGAGGGTTTTGCTTCCGTCACTGGTGCTATCCAAGAAGGGTTCTCCACCCTTCTTGCACATTCTACTTCCGGCGGGCCTGTCCCGACCTCTGCTGCCGCCCCCGTGACATCCCCCGTCTTGCCCCATCGGGGTCATGCTTCTACCCGTGCTGAAGCACCCGCCACCCCCCGTATTGGACCGGAAGTATTGATGTTCACTACCATAGAACTCGAGAAGCTCCGATAGGAGACACCGGCATCACAGAGATCGCCCACGTAATTCCGTTCTCCATGGGCGCCTGCGGTAATAAGCAGAGGGTATGTATGCAAATCCCTTGGACAATACGATATAGTGTGATGCTAATTACTCTCACCAGGAGAAGGAGGTAGCCCAAACCTGGGCGACACTTAAGCGCCTCTTTCTCGTTGCCATTGGCCCAAGCGACATTGATGATCCAACCAAACTGTTAAATTTGTGGTAGCTTCTACATTATGAGTTCAGGGCAATGCAGCTTGCTTTCAATCTTACAGTAGGCTATGTTGCTGTCTCTTCCCCCTTTATACTGGATCGCCGCTAAAGGCCATCAGGGTAGAGAGAACGAGTATGAAATTCTCACTTTTGGGCGCTTTCAAAACTGGGTTGGCATACACTTTACCCTAAAATCGGACGGTAAAATTCAGATCCCATAGTGGCATGGCACTTCCGTCTCCAGAGCTCCTGGGCACCCATACGGCATTAGCCAAGATTCTGCATACCTCGGGTATGGCAGAATCGATAGATAAACTTATGGAGGATTGTGATGAAATCGTATGTATGGCGAATAACGGCAGTACCAACTTTGGCGACATACTCTCCGCACGTCTGCACACCATTAGTGTGTAGGATTACCACGCGCATTTCGCGGACAGCTGATGATGACACTTTTAGGGGGTTGAGTATGGCAGATGGCCAGGTCTATATCGCAGCAAAGACGATTCTGTGTGCAGGAGCCGCTGCCGAGAGCCTAGTTGATACTGCAACTGTAATGAAGGAGGGAAGCTTAGGAATAAGTCGTCTGTAAAGTACTAAATTTGCCCCTTACGCCTCCCTTACACCTTCCTTTTACTTAAAGTTTCTCTTACCTCTATTATAGAGTAAGAAGTAAAAGAGAGTATAAAGAAGAGTGTAAGGGAGAAGTTAGGCTATGGGCCTGGATATGGACCAAAGGGGAGCAACGGTGTAAATGAACTTCCAGGACATTGGTGAGGATGAATGGACCACCATTGGATTTGGACCTGTGAGGTTATAGATCTCTTTTGACAGGGAATTATGATGGAGTTTCTCTGCCAGAAGAGAAATTGAGGATACAACTTAGTTCCCTTGCTTTGTATGTAAATAGTCTATTGACGCAATTTCATTCATACTAACGCCGTTTCGGTTCGTTATGACGGTAAATATAAGAACCTGCTCGAGAGAAGAAAGTGGGCTAGCCAGGTATATAAGTATCATATGATAGCAATTGGGAAAGCGAACAGAAAAACATCCCTAGTAGCAAAAAAAGAGAGAGAGAATTGAACAGTGAAAGAAGAAATCAACCAGCAGTCGAACCCAGGGGGCCAAAGAATATTACAAACAAGGATAATATTATTTGTTAAATGGAACGAAGGACAATGCGAAAGGAGCATGGGAGCATTCGTTTAGTCAACCTTCCCGTTACTTGGACCAGATCCAACGGAGCTGAAAAGACCCTTCTCCTTTCCGTCAAGGTGGAAGAAACCCATGGAGGAGCCTCCGAGTTTTCCGGTCGTAGTTTTTGTTCGTCGGATTTGACGCTTAGCCCACAGAGAAGCGATGGCAATAGCAATAATGCAGAGGCCTATAGTGATGAAAGGATGGGAGCTGACGAAGTTACGGGAGCTGAAGAAGATGTGTTCAAAGAAGCCAACAGTAGACTTGGACTTGAGCTTTGGAGAGGAAGCAGCAATGTGAGTAAGCGTTTCGAGAATGGAAGTGCGGCTGGGCATGATGTCAACACCGTTTGGAGATGAATCCCAGTAGCGACGGTTCTATTAGATTCAAAGTTAGCAATGCAAAATTAAACACAAAAACATATAATCTTGAATATCTGGCACTCACCGATTCATCGTGGATAATGACTCTGTCTCCATTCTTCACATCAACACCAAAGGTGGTTTTAACCCATCGATCCCAGAAAATTCCGTCAACCCAAGCGAACCCAACTTGTTTCTTATCATCTTCACGGATAGTGATACGCATGCTCTTCGCAGCCCGTAGAGCTCGCTGGTCGTTACGATCATCTGCTTCCTCAATGCGGAGGTCTTTGGCATCTCGTAGTTCCTGGCGCTCCAGCTGGAATAGCTTGGTCTGTTTTTCCATCCACTCCAATGCTGCATTCTTGAGCTCACGTTTGTTTTGCACGAAGTCTTCATTATGTTGTCTGTTGAGGATTCCGAGAACAACATATTTACCATCCATGACATCGCGAGCATTTGTGGCGGTCAATTCGGGAACAATAGGAAGCCAAACACTCTGCATCCAAGAAAGAACGGCGCGGAAATCTCTCATATCCTTGGGAGCCAAGGCGGTATAATACTTGGCGGTTCCATCTCTGGCCACAAGGAGACGGGGCCATGTAGATATTCTAAATCGCTCGGCAAGCTCCTTGCTATCGGTCTTCACCAGTCGGGCATGTCCTACCAGACTGAGGGTGAGTCTATCAAGCGCAGCGAAGTCTTCAGAAGTTGTGGCATGGTCGAAGAAATAGAGGAAGATGACCTCCTCAGTTTCTTCCATCTTCTTGAACGCTTCTGCGTCAACATATTGAACGCCAAGGCCGACCACATCGGTGGCCTTGTTAGCATAATTCACCAAGTCACCAAGCCCGCGTAGGCCTTCATACTGGACTTTCTCGCCACCACGGAAAAAATGCATGGTAGGGTATGAGGAGATGCGTGCTTCTTTGCAAAGACGTCGTTCGGCATCACAATTAACTTCGCCAACGTTGAGCTTCCCCTTCATGTCCTTAGCCATTTGCTGCCACACAGGAGCGAGTGCCTGGCAGTGGCTACACCATGGAGCATAAAACTTGATAAACCAAGGATCCTGGGTTGTGGTCACAAGTTTCTGGAAGGATTCTGCGGTTAAGGAAACAGAAGATCCTGAGAGGTTATATTTCTTCTCCTTGACCTCCTTTTTAGGGGTGGGGTTTTGGGCGGGGGCCTTTCCGTCTTGCGGGTTCTTGGAGTCCTTAGGATCACTGGAGGTCTTTGAGTCCTTTGGTACCTTCGAATTATCAGAGTCTTTTGGCAAGTCTTTTGGCGAGTCTTTGCTATCATCCTTGGTTGGTATTTCGGGCTCGGAGTTTCCTTCAGCCTTGTCTTTATCGGGTAGGATCATTTGTCCCTCCTTATCACCTGGCTTAGGGAGGTGTACCCCTCCACGAGGTCTAGAACCTGGCTTGATTGTCTCCAATTTGTCTTCTATGAAGCTGCTAAGCTCCTCCATTCCTTTCTTTTCTTTAGAGAATGTGTCGAATGCTTTTCCGTTATGGTAAAGGACAAATCTCGGGTAACCAAGAATGCCGAGCTCCTTACATTTATCGGCGTAGGCGGCGCAGTTCAATGACGCAAAGTGAAATCCATAGTAACCGTGGAATGAGTTCAATGACTTTTCGGCATCGGCTGCTTTCTTCGCGGTAGTGGATAAGAGTGGGTTGGAGGTCTAAGGCAGTGATTAGCACAATGTAAGCGGGCAAACAAATTGGAAGGAACACCAACGTAATAAAATTCATATAGTGTTTGCCAGATTGGTGCAACAGCTTTGCAATGTCCGCAGTCGGGATGGTAATGCTTTACGAACCTATTTAAAGGGAACAACGAGTAGTTAGCGGACATTGTCTTATAAGAGCGTGTGAGTTTGGTTTGGAGTCAAGAAACGTACCAGTAATCCTCCTTTATGCTTTCTTCAAAATCTGGGCCTCGAAGTTCCTTCATAGGAGGTACGGTGACTCCATTGAAAACAGTCGACATAGGGTCAGGGCCCAGAGGATTCTCTGTCTCATCTTTGTTTCCTATCGCCTGCTCACTTGGTAGACCGAATATGGGCGATATCGATGTCGCAAGGACTGACAGGAAGAAAAGCGAACTCCTCATTGTGATCTGCTAAGAGGGCCACAGAGGCCAGGACAGACGATATATCGTCCAAATATGATTTGAAAGGCGCAAGGCCTAATCAGGAGACCTCGAGGCTCCAAGACAGGACTCGTTTCTTTTGCGGGAGGGCTGTTGGTGAGTTGAAATCTGCCCTCGCAGGACTTAATATTCGCAAGTTGGCAAAGGGTTCTCGCTATGCTTTATTCCCACGGGACTGCCTTGTTATCGTGGAAGCATTCAGCGTTTTGTGGCGAAGAATCTGCTTTGCCGTCTGTCGTCCGCGTCAACGTCAGCTTGTCTTTTGTTCTTCTTTCTTCCCCTGATCGATTGCCTTAGTCTCGATCTAGGTGGATTACATAATTTATACGGCGATATAGTTATTCCGCTTCCGTCCTACCAGAGTCGGTAAGTCCACGCGGGCGAAACGACTTGCGTAGAAAGGTCAGCGAAAGACGAAAGGACGCAGCGCTGCTTCTATTTATCTATTGCATCGCCCGACGCAGCAATTGAATCACAGTGCTTGCAGGAATCGCTCTTTAGCACATCATGAGGGCGACCCTACGGCTTCTGGCTAATGTAAAGCCAGCCAGATACCTGGAACCTTTCACACCAACCGGTCTTACTGGCCTTTCAACCCACCCTAGCCCTCGACCAACACTCATCTACCTCTATACCACGACTCTCCAGAAACTGAAAGCGATTCCGGAATCATCTGTCTATCGCAAATCGACAGAGGCCCTTACCAAACACCGATTGGATGTCGTACAGTCTACGAAGCCACCAGGGTTCGACGCCTGGCTGCAACGAGTAAAAGCTCTCGTTGCTGAGAACCCAGATAAATACAAGGCTGCTCTGAGGGAAGACGGCACCTACGCTGCATTCCAGCTTGAAGAGGAAAACATTGCCAAGGAAGACGAGCTTTGGGGTGGAGAGAGCTCCAAGGTGCAGCAGGAGGGTGCATACCTCAGCGAGGAGGAGATGGAGGAGCGCATAAAGGAATCAGAAGCACAAGCTGCCATGCAGGCAACTCCCACTATCCATTGGGAGGCAGAGCCAGCTCTGGAGGCTGTGCAGTACGTTTTGTCTCGTTTACCTACGGCTTTGGATCGCGGTATTTCTAACGGACTTCATTTAGGATTTCCGAGATTGAAAACAAGATCGGCGGTGGATTAATAGAGGAGGTCATTCAAGTGGCCGAGGGAGAGCTCAAACTTGTCGATGAGATGGTCAAGAGCAAAGTGTAAGTTCTTGAGCTGTGCCACACCCATATTCACTTGCACTCGCTGACGGTTACCGTAGATGGGAGGAACTTGTGGAAAAGCCCAAGCCTGGCCAGTGGACTTACTTCGAAAGAACTGAATCTAGCTCATGATCAATTTATCTATGCTTGATTCCACGGCATCGCAGTTGATGGAGGTTCATGCTGTCTTTAATGATTGTGACTGGACTCCGGAATTTTGTATCCCGTGATATTTTCCTTGCTTTGTATACTATACCACTGTGATATTGTGACCCTTGCCTGCACACATATTAAAACAATGCAATAGACGCCTCCTCATCGAGTCTCTAGTCGTTTCTCTGTGATTGTAATATTTATCGGTCAATGCTCTACAAATACGGCGCGGAGAAGTTCCCTTCAAAGGTAATTCATAAATAGTCGTATAACTAGATATCTAGAAAAAAAAATACAGGGAAGAGTGGCATATGATACCGTTTAATTAAACCTATAATCAATAGGTATCAACTGGCAACAAAGCGTCTCTTGCTGTCTGAATATTTCGTTCAAGCAGCCAAAAGCCCAAAAGTTTTTGGGGCAAGCGCTCGTCGGCGCTAACCCGATTCGGACAGCTGGTGGAAACACTGCCGTTTAATATTAGACACGCCTCTTGATAGCGATTATGTGGACAAGTTGCTTCAGTGACCAGATGAACGCGAGCCACCAATTGATCACTTTTTGTCTGCGCTGGATATAGGGGAATACCCAGTTCTCTTAACGGGCTTTTCTTATACTGATTAATTATTCGTTAAGAGCTACCACTCTCGCGGCCCTGAGCCGCCATCCCCCCGTTCACCCACCAAAATGCGGTTCGACGTCAAGGTAAGACTGTCCCTTGCATCATTATGCTACTTCGCTCGAGGGATCAAAGGCCTTACTGACATTTGTTAATAGCGACAACTCTTTGCCCGCTCGGAGCGAGTCAAGGGGATTGACTTCCACCCCACAGAGCCATGGGTAAGCTTGCATACAAACCTACGGAGTAGCAGCATGGCTTGTTCCTAACTGACCATTAATATAGATTTTGACGACATTATATAGCGGTATGCGGTTATATTTTCCCGGTACTACTAATATTATGATTTAGTTGCTGATATTCTATGTTTAGGCCATGTCTACATCTGGTCTTATGAGACCCAGGTAAACACCCCTCTGAATAAAACCATAAACCCTCTCGTTCGGGCTGCTTATATCTGGTTATTGTTTAGTCGATTATCAAAACATTCGAACTTACCGACGTCCCTGTAAGAGCTGGTCGGTTCATTGCGCGAAAGAACTGGATTGTGTGCGGTTCCGATGACTTCCAATTACGAGTATACAACTACAATACTTCGGAGAAGATTATATCCTTTGAAGCCCACCCAGATTACATTCGATCGATTGCAGTTCACCCAACGCATCCATTTGTTTTGACGGCTTCAGATGATATGACCATCAAACTGTGGGATTGGGACAAATCATGGAAGTGTGTGCAGGTATTCGAGGGTCACAGCCACTATGTGATGGGTCTTGCCATCAATCCAAAGCACACCAACACGTTTGCTTCAGCCTGTCTCGACAGGACTGTTAAGATATGGAGCTTGGGCTCACCTAACCCCAACTATACCCTCGAAGCACACGAGACCAAGGGTGTAAATCATGTCGAGTACTACCCACAAGCCGATAAGCCATATCTTCTCACAACCTCTGATGATAAGACCGTGAAAATCTGGGATTATACTACAAAGGCATTGATTGCTACCTTGGAGGGACACACTAGCAACGTATCTTTCGCATGCTATCATCCAGAGCTTCCAATCATTATATCCGGCTCTGAAGATGGAACTATCAAACTCTGGCACGCAAACACTTACAGGCTAGAGCAGTCTCTTAGTTATGGCCTTGAAAGAGCCTGGTGTGTTAGCTACCAACGTGGTAAACAGGGAATCGCCATGGGTTTTGACGACGGAGCTGTGGTAGTTAAGATGGGTAGAGAAGAACCTGCCGTATCTATGGATGGATCCGGTAAGATTGTCTGGGCTAGACACAATGAAGTCGTCTCCACTGTCATCAAGGGCGGTGATGCAAGCTTGAAGGATGGTGCTCCTCTCTCCCTACCTACCAAAGATCTCGGCTCCTGTGAAATATACCCTCAGACTCTAGCCCATTCTCCAAATGGAAGATTCGTTTCCGTTTGCGGAGATGGCGAATACATTATCTACACTGCTCTTGCCTGGAGAAACAAGGCGTTTGGACAGGCGTTAGATTTTGCTTGGGGGTCTAAGGATAATAGTAATGACTACGCAATTCGGGAATCGTCAACAAGCGTTAAAATATTCCGGAATTTCAAAGAAAAGAGTGGTGGGCTCGATGTTGGTTTCCACGCTGAGGGTCTAAGTTCTGGTGTCCTCCTCGGTGTTAAGGGTCAAGGTGGCATTGGCATGTTTGACTGGGAGACTGGCAATCTTGTTCGAAGGATAGAAGTTGAGCCTAGAGCTGTCAGTTACCTCAAATACTCTTCACCTCACATTTTCATGCTGCTAACAATATATCTAGGTGTACTGGTCCGAATCAGGGGAGCTGGTTGCCCTTGCGTGTGAAGATACCTTTTACGTCCTTCGTTTTTCACGAGAAGATTACATTGCTGGACTAAATGCTGGGCAGGCTGATGAGGACGGTGTTGAGGCTGCCTTTGAAGTGGTAACGGATGTTAATGAAACCGTCCGCACCGGTGAATGGGTTGGGGATTGCTTTATTTATACAAACTCGACAAACCGACTAAACTACCTCGTTGGTGATCAAACTTACACGATTTCACACTTCGACCAGCCAATGTACCTCCTTGGGTATCTTCCTCGGGATGGACGGGTTTATCTTGCCGATAAGGAACTTTCTACCGTCTCATTTGCACTGTCGCTTTCCGTTGTTGAGTATCAAACCCTTGTATTGCGAGGTGACATGGACTCGGCAACAGAGTTGTTGGAGGATATTCCAAAGGACCAGATGAACAAAATTGCCCGGTTCTTGGAAGGCCAAGGTTATAGAGATCTTGCACTCGACATTGCTACTGACCAGGAGCATCGCTTTGACCTTGCTCTTGGGCTCGGAAAGCTTGACATTGCCCTTGAAATTGCTAAGGTAACAGATGTTGAGCACAGATGGAAGACAGTTGGTGATGCGGCTCTGGCAGCATGGAATCTTTCCTTGGCCGAGGAATGCTTCTCGAATGCTAAAGATCTTGGATCCCTACTTCTGCTGCACTCGTCAAGTCGAAACAGTGCTGGTCTTCAGAAGTTGGCTGAGCAAGCAAAGCAGGCTGGCTCGCACAATATCGCATTCTCCGCTCTATGGCAGCTATCTGATGTAGACGCGTGCATTGACCTCCTCGTCCAAACCAACCGCTTCGCTGAATCTGTCTTCTTTGCCCAGACTTATAAGCCTAGCCGCACCCCAGAGCTAGCTGTCCAGTGGAAACAGAGCCTCGAGAAGAATGGCAAAACCAAAGTGGCACGCATCATTGGTGTGCCACCAGGTGTTGAAAATTCTGATGACGACCTTTTCCCTGAATGGGATAGCTATCTCAAACTCGAAGCTGAAGGGGGTTTGAAAACTGCAAATTTGATCGACATTGATGCCAATGGTGATGAGGATGAGGGTGAGGCAGCCACGGATGAAGCTGCAGAAGAAGCTGCAAATGGCGCTTCCGAGTAATCTTTCCGTACGTTGATTTTGTGCTACAGCTTGAAGTGTTAGACAACGGCCGTGGCAGGAAAATGTAGTTTGACTTTAGATTATGAGAACAATCCGATGAATGAACAGCTCTTACGTTTAATAACATCTTTGCATATTTTGGCTGTTATGTTTAGACCTTCTGCTTTCACATTTACCCCTGTTGGAAGATTCCC